TACTTTGAAATAAACCAGAATGATGACTTAATTAAATCTTGTCTCAGGTCAGTTTAAATGATGTCTCATTTCATGACGATCGTCATATGCATCTTTATCTAAATAAATACATAACGTACTAATACATCAAATATAACCAAAAACATTTAACAACCAAAATCTCTCTACAAACCTTTTATAATTAATTGTAGATAAGTCTTTTTGTTTTTCTTTTTCATTTCCTAAAACAATTCTGTAATATTATATGAAAAATAAAAAAAAAATAATGAAAAAAAAATATAAAATTTCATAAAGAAAATAAGGAAGATTCCCCTGTTACATAAAAGATGTAACATCGTAGAATAAAAATCGATTTTTCGCGTACCATCATCTCATTCTTGAGTGACTAAGAAATTTTGAGATAAGCTTTTACATATGTACGTATATATATATATATATATATATATATATGATATATAACATAGAGATCGAGCTTATAAAGTTAAGCGAGGAGGTCACCCTGTATACGTTGACTCTACATCTCAGAGAGGACCAACCAACCAACCAACCGACCAACCAACGAACCAACCAACCAACCGACCGACCAACCGACCTACCGATCGATCCTGTCTCTCCTCGAACGAGAAAAAGATCGACGTCGATCCTAAAGGGGAAAGAAGAAAGAAAGAAAAGAAAGTGGGAGGGGGGAGGGGGGAGGGAAAGAGAGTAAGTGAGAGAGAGAGATAGAAAGAGACTGCGGCAGACTTTTATCGAGAAGTACTTCAGTTACTTCGCTCCGCATCGGATATTCGCTATATATCGGTTGGCCAATTAATTCTTAGCCCATAGAGCCGTGAGTACTACGAGAGAAAGAGAGAGAGAGAAAAAAAAGTCAAAGAAAAAAGAAGAAGAAAAAAAAAGGAAGAGATGAAGAGAGAAAGATGTAAAAAGTTAGGGATAGTTACGTAAAGCGCTACATATACCATGAACAACTTTATCCAAGTTTATATATATACATCGATTACGTGAAAGATCCAAACGAATGAGAGGATTAACATATGTATCCTATGCGAGTCCCTAGCCTAGAACGATCTAATGTAAATCGAAAATGGAGTGTCTAGGTAAACGTAAAAAAAAAAAAAAAGTAAAAAAAAAAAAGGTAAAGCTTTGTATTTTATTTTACTTAAAGTGAGTGTAGCGTTTTTCTAGTTCGATCTATTTTTCCCAAGGGAATTTGTCGTTAATTCTTTTTGTCGACGTTCAACGGGGAGGGTGGTGGTGCTTCATACACGGTTGAGTCTCGTAACAAGCGAAAACTTTTTGTGTTTTTTCTTCTTTCTTTTTGTTGTTGTTTTCTTCTCGTACACATTCCACGTTCCTTTCTTCTTGCAATAGCTTTTCGAAATCAAAGCGGCTTTATCGTTAAACTACGACCAAGCGAACGAGTGGTCGCAAGCTCGCGCGCGCGTGCGAGCGCTTCTAAATTTGAAACGACGTTGACGTCGTTGGAAGTGGCCCTTAAAGGACGCCCTCGGCTTTTGTTCCCCGAAGGCCGGCCAGTCAGCCAGCCGGTTCGTTGGTTGGTTCGTTGGTTGGTTGGCCGGCTCTATCGATTGGCGAAATATTGTTATCGAGTTGCCGTCACGGTGAATCAACGATGCGAGAAAGAAAATCTGATAAGTGATGGAACGAAAAATCCCAATTCAAATAAAAATTATAAGAACAAAAAATATTCTAAATGCGTGATCGTTATAGCCTAAACTAATTAAACATTTCGATTATACATTTCAATGGAACACGATTGAAACTAAAAATCATACGTGAGGAATTTTTTGAAAGCACAAGTTGCATCAATTGAGAGAGTACATTTTTTTGTATGGAAAATTTAATCTTTCGATAAATACCTTTAAGGATTAAAATCTATGCAAGAGATAAAGATAAAGATAGAAATGAAAAGGGAAAGGAAATCAAAAGGGAGAGAGAGGGTTGCTTGTGGATCGTCATCGGCACGCAGCTAATTATAGAAACGTTCTATTACACCTTTGAACTCTCTTCCCAAGAGAACGAACGAACGTACGAACGTACGAGTGAGATATGGATCGGTGAAGCAAGCAGCAAGTAAATAAGGATGGATGGATGGATGGATATATGGATGGAAAGAAAGAAAATAAAAGAAAGAAAGAAGGAAGGAAGGAAGGAAGAAAAGAGAAATCCAAAGGCACGTCGTGGGACTTTACCTCAATGGTATTACGGGATTACGAATGGCCACGAATGGCCATTCGAAAGATCCAACGTTCGCGATTCCGCGTTTATCCGAAGAAGGGGAAGAAACGTAGAACCGCGAATAAAAGAGCAACCGACTAGCGAGAGATATATAGAGAAAAGTACGTAGATGTAGATAGATAGAGAAAAAAGAGAAGAAAAACCTACATATATATGTAAAGATGGAATGAGAAAGAGAGAAAGAGAGAGAGAGAGAGAGAGAGAACACATAAATACACAGCTAGCGGAAAAAGGAAGATAGAGAAGGGTTGGAACGAGAAGGGGGAAGAGGAAAAGAGAGAAAGCTTTTGCGTTTTCAGTGTATTTCGAATGCACGAAACGGTGGAAAAGTCAGGACGCGCCTTTTCATTAATCTCCATCGGCACGAGTTGGAAACGGCTTGCCACGGTGCCGACACCTTATACTCAAAATCAATACGAGCGCTCGCGCGCACCGGCTTTCCCCGTTATTAAAGATGTGAGAGAGAAGACCGCATGTGCCCCATGATTCTTCCTCTCTCTTTCCTTTTCCTTTTCCTATTCCACCTACAACTGATGCCCCTTTTCCCCATCTTTCTCTTCCTCTCTTACCAACTGCACACGAATGATAAATATTCCGTGGATGCGTCGAGAGAACAATCGGACTTTAGTTCCGATTCGAGCCGAAACGAGCCGAACCAACCGGAGGACGGAAACAAGTCGCATTGAGAATTCGGCTGGACATCAACTATACTCTACACCAGGGACTACTACTACTACTAGTAGTAGTAGTAGCTTTCCATTCTACTTTTAGTTTTACTATTCCGATTTTTTTTCGAACTACTTCTTTTACATTTTATCGGCAAAATAAATCGCGGATTTAAAATGAAAGGAAGTACCTATACTCTTACGTACTTTCCTAGTCGCAACTGCAACTCCTAGTTTCGATTGCTAACATGCACTTGTGTGCTTTTACCTACATTACACTAACATATATATATGTATATATTTTTCTGTTTGATCGAAACAATTTTTTAACTCGTTTTACCACCCACTGAGCTCTCTATTATTATTATTATTATTATTATTATTATTATTATTATTATTATTATTATTATTATTATTATTGTATACGTTTGTATAAAACATTCTATATTCGTTCTAACATCAAATCTCAAGCTCTATTAACTCATTCTCACGATAGAAATAAATCCGAGCAGAGTTAATTAACTTAACGATTTATATCAGAACATTAATACACTCACGCATATAAATAAAAGTATTCTGTCTTTTTCTCAACTTTAGACGAGTTAAATATTCGCTTGGAAAATGTCCAATTCCCTTGTGGTGGAATACTTTGTACGATCTTAAGACTTAACGGGGTTGCTATTTAAAAGAACTTAAAATAACGATCGACTATACTAAAATATAATTGGCTGCACTTAATTCAAAGAATTATCGTATAAGTTCGTCGTTTACTAAAATATCTAAAAAAGAAGGTTTTAATAACGAGCAACGAAATAATGTGATCACTTATGCTTGTACTTTACATATATTTAACCCACTAAACCAGGAATATTTTCGATTGAAGAGAGCGTGAATGGAATGTGCAAATTTATTTCGATTAAAAATAAAATACCGTAAATGAGGGTTGTTTCTTTAACCTGTTTTTTCAATATCTCATTTCAAACATCGAACATAAAAACGATTTTTGATTAAGTGCAGTTAATCGAATGATTACGTTGAATCTGATCAAACCTTTCTACATTGTAAGGGTACATGCACACCTATACGAACACGTTTACGTATTACAAATGAAAATATTTTATATGGTCGAACATTAATCCTACTGCACGTGTCAACAAAAATATAAAATTAATCCTAATTTCGTAGAACCGCGTGTGCGCGTAAACATGCATACGCATTTATATTTTAGATGCAAGTTTACCAACATTAATCATTCCTTCCATCCTCTTTTCTCTTACGGTCGTTACCCTCTCGAGTCCTCAGATAAAATGAACTATTATTTCAATAAAATGAAACATTTTGATTAGAATTATTAGAAATCGTGTTCAAAACAAAATTTAATTATAATCTCGAAAATGCAGCTCACGTGACCAAGTTCCTTTCCCCCATCTTGTAACTTTTACACATAAAGTAGACTCTTTATCTAATTTCGAATGATAACCCGATGCAACGTTAAATGCTCTTTTCTTTTCATATCTTTCTTCCTTTTTATCTTTCACAGAACGAATAAAAATAAAATACAAACTGGATGGTAGTGTGACCAAGTTTAAACCATGCAATCCTATTGCATATAATTTTTATTTTTTACCAACGATCGAATGTTAATCATCTCGTTGTTGTAAAAAATAAATAAAAATGTATCAGATGAAATAATATTTTACCGTTTTACATTCGAAAAGAGAAAGAAATGAAAGATACCGATAACTATAAACGTTTTTTTTAACAGCACAGCGAACTCGAGAAAGTGTCTTCCTGGAATAGTACACGCGATAGTCCTGCCACTCGTCGAGAGGGTAACAAACCCTATGAGGGTCGTATCGTTTGACCGGAAAAAATGAAGAACCGAAAGAAACGGAAGAATGGGTTCATTAAACGCGCGTGTTAGAAAGAAAAAGAAACAATGAGATATTAGTTTCGACAATGAAGAAGATTTTAGTGTACACGAAATCTTATAGGAGGATAAATCTCGCGTGTCAAGGGTGTAAAAGAGTGTGTAGAGAAGGAAGGAACGGTGTCAAAGTTCGTTGTACTGACCGCAATGCAGTGACCTCCACGGCAGCAGTAACATGCAGGATAGGTTCCCTCGGCGACGTGGCTCGTCGTCGGCAAAGCCTTGAAAAGTGCCTTCAACGAGGAGAACGCTCGTGTCTGCTCTTCGTGACAGGAAAGACCGCATAACATCTAAACGCAAACCTTTTTTTCTTTCTTCTTCTTATTGGCACATGGCTCCTTTCTTTTTCGTTGACACTGCCACCGTTATTTCTACCCCCCGTTCTCGTCCTCGTCCACGTCCTTCAAGCCGGCTTCCGAAACACCCTCACTATCATTCCTCACTAACGTTGACACTTTGAGTTTTCTCTCTCTCTCTCTTTCTCTCTTCGTGACACACACTACAATCTTGAAACCTTTCTCTCTCTTTCTTTATCCTTTCTATTTTTTTATCCCTTTTTTCTTTAGTTTCGTCCTTTTCTCTCGTGATCGTTCGTGGGCTACTCGTTGAACCACCAAACGCAAGAAGATACAGAGAGAGGGAGAGAAAGACAACGACAACTATTACAGTGTATTACTATGTATCTCGATCAGATATATAAATAAAAGTTCCTTTTTTATTTTTCTCAAATAAGAACACAAATTGATATTATTTTCGTGGTTAGTTCGGTGCTCCCGCCGGTCTTTTAACGCGCTTACGAAAAAGTTTTTCGACCTCCGAAGGGCCACCGCGAATCGATGTGTGATGTTACGCTTCCCAGCTGTCTTTTTTGATTCTGCGGATGTGCTCGCCCCTAACGACATCTCGCGTCATTCTTTGGTACTACAGCTGATCGAAACAATGACGTAGCCGGCTACTGTGCTACAGTGCTGAATGGCGCCAAATTTCAAACGACCTTTCTAATTCTCGAATTTCTATTTTTTCTTCTTTTAAAAAAAATAAAGGCACGACTTTATCGTGTAACTTTTTGATATAATTTATTTGCATATATAGTCTCATTCTTCCATAATATCGTTATAAGAACATAAGATTTATTTCGTAATCCTTAATTCGATTAATTATTAAATTCATTCATTAATTATACACCGTCACTCATCCTTGATCCTCTCTCTCGTCTCTCTAATTCCTCCAGATATTTATGCCCAAATGTTTTGCATTAGTTATTAGCTACTTCGTCTTACACATGCGGTCTTACAAGCACATTAGCATTAATCATTTAGATTACAAGTGAAGTGAAGAGATATCGTATATAAGTGTTTTTAATAATAATTAATAATTAATATATTTTACAGCGTCGTATTTTTCTTCTTTCATATATATTTTTTTTTCTTCTTTTTTTTTCTTTATATTTACATATGAAATAATGAAAGGATACACAAGTGACGTTTCAATTAAATCGTACTATTTAATCGACGTATGCACGTAACAATATAAAGAAATTGTGTAGTTGCGTGTAGTCGTGTCTATTATTATTTATTTAATATCGAACCTGCCGTCTTATTATTTTAAGAAAAAAGTTGTATCCTTTTTCCTTAACATTACATTCACCATATTATATATGGATATATTAATTAGACAAACAATAAAAACAATAAATGATCATTATTTTATAGATTAATTTTTTCTTTTTTTAGATTACGATTTTTTTCTTAATTTTTTTTTTTTTTTTTAATACAAAGTAAACATCTTAGCTTGGATTATTTCTTTTTTTTTTTTTTTTGAGTCAAAAAGCTCCGTCGATGAAAATTTTGTTAAACAAAAAAGAAAATAACGAATGAACATTAAAAAATTTGTAACAACTAATACCAGCCATTGAAGACGCGCTTTTAAGTCGAATGAACTAACAGCTTCTAGCTTACATCTATCTGCGGAATTTCCTTTAAAAAATGCTATACTCTGAATAAGACGGCTTATACGAGATTATAGTATATACATTTAATACGATTAAATATCCCTTACATAAATATAATAATCTTTAACGTTTATAGAGCAATAGAAGATCCATGCATTACTACCATATGTTAACTTGGATAAATAAAGAATCTACCTTTCTAATATTTGACATCATCGAATTAAATTGATATTAGTTCAGATTGTTTTCTTCTTTCGACAAATTTACACTCAAAAAAAAAAACAATGATATCAGCGTAACAAATAATTATATACAAATAATTATGCCAAATAGTATTTATAAATAATAATCTATGGATCTATTTGTTACAATTTTAAATCAAGTATTGGTAGTAATGCATGATATCTTTACTTGCCGCAATTGAAAATAATATCTAAAATGGATGTATTTAATTAGATTAAACGATTCTTATTCTTTATAGTAATACAAATTTAACGTTTATAACCAGAAATGTATTACGATAAGAAATCTCATAACCAGAATTTAAGGCCACAAAATGTTACGTTATTACATAAAGATGTTTATCGTTTAAACGGAACGTATATTCGTTTAAAAAAAATAAGCTGTACAAATAGGATGGAATGTGTAGTCAACCTTGTATATTAAATATCTGCTAGGATACTTATTATACTCTATGGATACTTATTATAATACAGAGTAGGCATTTATCCACAACATTTAACTTGCCATTATTGCTGATTCTAATGCATCATTTATAATCTGTGATATTAATTATCATCGAATCAATGGGATACTGTACTTTTAGAATATTGTCGACATTTACAAATGATTTCAAGTTTTTATATAGTTTTGACATATTTTGTATCTTAATTATACTAACTTATGTACAATCAGCTAATCGAATAAACGCTCATTGCATTTACTGCTAGTATTATTAAAAAGAACGAGATACAAGAAGCAAAATAGATCATCATGTAAAAGCCTTTCATCTTCTTCTTTGTTCCATTTTATTTTTTTAATACTCGTATTTAAGCATTTAAACCAATGTGCCTTACATTGTTTTGCGGATTTTCTATTGAATATTGAAGCTACACGACTCCATTTGTTTATTCCATATAAGATGCTTCAAAAACATTAATATACTTCCTTATAAATAACAAGATATTTTCATACATAAATTTGATAAAATAACTAAAATTGCACAACAAAATCTGATTAAAATTTATCATTCTCTTTTCTTTTACATGATTCAATCATTTATAAGAAATCGATTAGCCTTAGATTTGTCAAAAATATGCATGGAATTAAAAACTTTTTACATATATAAATTGTATATAGCTTACCCTTTTATAATGGGGAAATACTGCTATATACTATTCATAATCTACAATATTATTGATAATTTAACAAATTAAAGAAAATAAATGATTCTAACAATAAATGAAATCAATCTACGTTAATTGGACGCTTTTCAAATTTTTTTGTTTTTCTTTTGTTTGTTTGTTCCTTTTTTTTCTTTTTTTAAACGCTTGCATAATTTAGCGATTATCGGCTTAACTAATGTAATAATTATCTTATTATAGATTTATTTACAAAATTAATATCACACTATTATTTTTCATTGTATAGTAGCCGGGCCTTATTATCTTAAAATAAATTTGCAGAAATACTTGTGTTTGATAAAGATTTCAATTTTTTTTCTATTAGTGAACGAACGAACACGGCCATTAATTATTTGACTCATAATCTGGATTTAAAATCATGACAAATTTCGCCAATGTGGGGAAGTATATTTAATAGAAAATTACAACAAATTTGGTCCGTGTCGTTTGTAACAGCTAAACAATATATGTACTTTATCCTGTACCTCGTTGTCATATGTAGTAAGACATAACTAAATCCCCATAATGCAGGAAAATATTAATCATGTTAAATAATCAATAATGTCAAGTCAGTATACATCGCTGTGTGCTTATGCGTATGTATATACATATGTATATTATATTACAGATATCATCATGAATAGGGGTATTTCATGCTAATCGACTCCAGCAAAACCTTGAGACCCTTCAATAGCTTTTATTAACTTATCCCTGAGCTGTTGATAACTTTCATAAGGTGGTAGATCAATACGGTTAAAACTGTAAAAAGACGATTGCTCATAATTTTTGTTGATAATCTTCAGACATTTCACTAATCCTGTTCACTAATCACTTAATTTTAAAAACTTTGATTTAAACTAGACTAGAATTGTTAAAGACTTAACATTGTTTATAAAATATACGTGAATCTTTATGTACTCACCAAGTGTGTGCTCTTGGATAGTTATCTGGTGTACCCCATTTTTCGATCGTAAATAATTGTGGTCCATTGCTTCCATAAAGTTCTTTAAAACCGTTCATTGGAACTCGAGAAGTACCAGTTACAAATTGCAATAGTCTCGATCTCATTTCATTGGTAAAAGAAAGAACAACTCTCCAAAACCATTGGACTACAATATGATTAGCATGATAATCTCCTTTGTATAATGTATTTTGTTTCCAATCTTTCACATCAATATGCTGTATTCCACACATCAATAATTCCAACTCGTGTTCGTCAAATATTTTTACTAGCGTTGGTGGAATAAGTGCATTAAATCCTTCTAAGAATGCGTTCATTTGTTCTTGGACACGCGATACAAATCTCCATTGAATGACCAAACTTATATACTCATCTTTGTTTTCGTCAGTTAACGATATATTAGCACCGTCTGGTTTAAGTTCTCTCTGCGAGGTATGTCCAAAGCTATCTTCGTCAACGGAAAATGTTAGTTCCAATTCACTCGGATCGTTCTCTTTAATCCATAACAATGAATTATAATACTCGGAATCGACGCTTTCCATATCTTTCAAGTCAATAGACTTTCCCAACATCATTTTGTAAAATGGTCGAATAAAGAATGCTAAAAAAAAACCAATAAGATATATAAAGATACTTTTATATAAATAATATAAACATATACTAACCATCCAAAAGTTTGCCATGATAAACTGCCATGCCAGCTACACGTCCAATAAATTTAAAGTAATTCAAATGTTCTTCGTTACATACTCCAGAAAACGGATTGATTTGAAGAGTATAGTTGTCTCTGTTATATCACATCATATATATAAAATAATAATGAAATAACTTTATTATAAGGATAAATAAACAAAACCTTTCATTTACTCACGTAGCAGAATATTCGAAAAGGCCATAATACGGATTAAACATTTCTTTAGATAAAAGGAAAAACCATTCTCTTGCAAGGCCTCCATAATCCAAACCTACTTCCCCTTCGAATTCTACCCATAATTTAGTTTTTAGAATCTCCACTCTATTCACAGAACTTATGATACGATATGAGTCCTCCAATATGTTGCCTCTTGCAACTTTTATTTCAAATTTGTTAGGAACATTGTTCTAAAATCAACATTTTTATTAGTTAGTATATATATATATATATAATACATTTCAATATTTTATATTTATATTTACCGGTTTTCTCAATTGAGACTTCAAATATTCGTATTTACGCTTGTAGTCTCTGGAGTATGGTACAGCCTATCAAAAATAAGTTGAACAAATTATATAAATATCTAACTATGATATATTACTGTGTTTCAAAAACTTACTGGGCCAGCAATTTGTGGATTAGACATACGCGGATCTTCCCATTGAGTTGTCCTGGTGTCTATAAGGATATATAAATAAATTAATATAATATATTATATTTTTATCGTAAAAAGACAAAAACGTACTGTGATCTATGAAAAATATTCGTCCATCTCTATGTACTCTTTCTTCCCAGCCTTCCGGAAGAGGTCCAAGTTGATCCAAATCACTTCTCGGTGTAGTCGATGGTGCATTGTGATTAGGTATTGAACTTGGTCTGCCTGTTCTTGGATCAATCCATGTTGTTGCTCTTTCATTATGATCAATAAAAAATACACGACCATTGGGTGCTATCTGCATACCCCAACCAGGTGGTAAGCCTTCCTCACTGGATACAGGAAGTGTAGGTTTTGGACTGTCAATCTAAATTATTAAACATCATTATTATAAATATAAATTCTAATTTCCTGTAGAATTTTATTTTATAATTTTAATATAATATTACCTGTTCTGATGATCGTCTAGAACCAGCTGGACTATCAACATTATCACTCTGCAAACAAATTATATTATACTTTAAATAGGTAATAATCATTTAAATGTAAACTTATATGAATACAACTAGTACACTTGGCAAACTGGTGTGACCAATGCTAAAGACACCTATTCGTTAAAAAATAAATACATATAATAAAGCTGCAATGAAAGATGTAAAATATTTTTTCTTCAAATATATATTCATGTAAATAAATGAAAAATTTGTTTAAAAAGTGAACTGAAAGAAAAAGAAAAAATAATGTAACAGTCATGCAAAAAATACTATTAATAGAATCAACAATAATGAAAGTACATACAAGTGTCGATAATAAGCAAAATAATCTGCTAGAATTCAGTACTCTCCAATGTTTCACTTAATCAATGATAAACATTGTAAAACTTTATCTCCATATGAGATACATACGTAAACTTTCACAGATATGTGCACGCATAAAAATGTATACATATACGAAATACGCAATTATATATTTTAAATAAAAATAACAACAAATATATGCAGCTATGATAAAAGCATTACACACAAAAAGTTTACTTGAGTGTATACCTGGTCTTCGCATTCACTTTGGTAGCCACGTAGATCAACAGAATGTCCAGAATCTGAGGAAGTATCCCCAATACCCCCTTCCCTATGAATCCTACCCTCACTATCCCTTGCTTCAGAATCTTCATCCTCTTCGCGTGGAACTTCGCCATCCTTACACACACATGCACAAATTGCTACATACTGCATGCTAATCTGTCTGATTGTTAGAATTTTATCGTAGCATCAAATTATTAGATACGTATGTACAAAGCTCTGATTTCTTTATCTATGAAATATCTAACAATCCACTATAAAACAACGCTTTATGCAAAAGAGTTTGAAAAAATTGAGTTGTTATTTAAATTTCAATTGCGCTTAATTTTTACTCATTTTTAAAAGATCCACATGCGTACTTGTATTATATAAATTATGTAATATATCTTTTAGAAAAGATTATATCTCTTTAGCAAATTTCATGAAGATCAAATGTTGTCTTCTATTAATAAATATTTATTTCCTAAATGTGTATTACTACTATTTTGTATTTTTTCTCCAATACAGTTGTTGTGTCCTGTATAGCTTTGCACACATTTATTGTATAAGAAATATTAGTATTATAACCATATATAACAGACATATTCCCAATATGGAGATTAAAAAATAGAGAGTACTTTACTATATATACTGATATAATACCAATAAAAAATAAGTAGAAAGAAAGGTACTAAAAAGACTATATTAAAACTAGAATATGAAATTATGTCTGCATTATGTATGCACTCTCTATATGTTGATTATAAAGTTTACTTCTTTAGCCATAAAATTGAATAATTTTCAAAGAATAATAATGGACAATTACCTGATTTATAACTGAATTTCTGTGTCTATTTTCATCGTCAGCACTAATATGGAAACGTCGCTGAAATTCTGTTGCTGCAGTATCCAAATTACGTTGTTCTGTTGTGTTACCAGTGGATGATATATTTCTATAAAAACAAGAGCACATTCAATATTTCGATGAATAATACATTAAACAAATTACATACGTATTTGTTGGTCTCTCCCATTGTGTAAATCGAGCTATGTGGTTAACATAATATGTTCTTCCATTAGCATCTTGTCTTTCTTCCCATCCTGGAGGTAATGGCCCATTAACCATATGAATCTATAAGAAACAGTTTACGTATGAAATATAAATAAATTATAGATGCATTTCCATGCATGCATAGAATATACAAACTTCTGCAACTGGCTCTACAGGACTATTAGTTTCTGGTTGTACTATCTCCCATCCTCCTGAATCAGATGCATCTCCATCTTCGTTCTCCGTAGTTGTTGAATCAGAGATGTACGCATGGTATATTTCCAATGTGCCTTTAACTCTCGATCGCTGGCTGGAATGATAACTGGATAGCCATATCTTTATAAGTTAGTCATCTTGTCTTTGCAAGCAAAACATTTCTACCGTACCATTTATATAAACAAAATATGTTGATTCACTTTATGCGATAAAAAATGATACATTAAAGTAACACAAATGAATAATAAATAATTGTTAACATTTGAAATAAACATAATGCACAGAATTGGATTGCAACAATTTGAAAATTTCTTACCTACGCGGTCGAAGAATATAGATTCTAGCAGGAATAGTACGACCTTCTTGCTCCTTAGGTAAATTAAGTAACGTTAATTCAACCATCCCAAGAAAATCATCCCTTGTCAATCTATTTTCATCGAAAACTTGTAATACTAGTTTATGATCAACGGGCTTAACCTAGAAACAAATGATATCAATTAATAAAACTATAATATATATAAATATAAATACATCTATAAAAAAGATTTGTATATAAGTGACTTACTCTAAATATAAATTCTTCTTCCCAAACAGGATTTAAAGTCTTCTTTTTAGTTTTTGTAAGTGCAGAATCCACAGTCTGATTTCCATTTAAAGTAATTAAGTCTATGCGGACATAGGGATCACTTGCACCAAAGATATCCTTCTTAGCAAGATGATTTCCCGCGATTACCCTTAACCTCAACTTGCGCGTACCCTCATCTCTCTATTTACAATATTATATTTAATTAAACTAATAACCTTTTAGTTATTTATATACGTATGATTATGCTTATGCGTAATACATATTATGAGAATAGAATGTTAGTAGACATTTAAAAAGATCATCAATAACATAAAAAACAAGTACAAGATGTTTGACAATGAAATATAATGTTCATATATGTATGTATTAATTCGATATTTTCTTTGATTATATTCAATACATTAAACTAAATAAATTATTATCAAAATTTCTTTAATTTAATACAAATAGTTTTTAGGTTCGTTCATTTGGAAGAATACATGAACGAATAGATTACATAGATTTAACATTGACAACATCAGCAGGATATTCTGATATTTATAAAACTAATATATGCGAAAAGTAAGGATAAACATTTTATATAAAAATGTCTTTCATATTATTTCCTTTTATTTTATAGAAAAAAATTTGAATACAACTGAATTTCAATTCTTGTTGCAAAAATTATGAAATATCTTGACACTAACAGTTTCACTTTAGCTTTATCAATTGAAATCCAACCTGTACTTGTCAAACTGTCAAAAAATGTACGTACGGAATCTCCATCGATCCCGGTTGGTGGTTTATATCCGTATACATTTTCCTCTGCCATTAACGTTAACGTTTATTCTATTTCTTTGTAATTCTCGACGATTAGTCTAACAAATTTACGAGTATCTCAGTTTTTTATATGCCATTAAGAAACCTATTTTGTCTTAACCCCTCTCCGTCACTTATTTCACTACCAGCTAGCCGGATATGACATACTCAGTTTAAAGATGGCTACTTTCCTCTTTCAATATTTAAAAATCTTATTTATACTTGATTAAATCACTTGTTTTCACGAAAGATTTATTTAAATTTCTTTTCGTTTCTATTCTATGTCTCGATGTGACTAGTTTAATCATGAAATTAAGATTATTCAACGATGACTAAGGAAAAAAGATGACTAAGAAAAAATAAATTAAGGGAGAAATTGGTACGCTTGCGGGAATTTCGAAAAGCTGCACCTAACAATGGCTTCCTTGTCGCGCCTGCGAAATTAAAGTCAAAACTCGTTTATCGCGAATCTCTTGACAGCTTTTCCTCTTACTATTCCCTACCTTTTATTGTCACGTGATGCGTCTAACCTTAAAACATTAATAAACGCGCGCGTATACAAAGGTAAGTATATTTTTTTACAATTTAAAACAAATTATATTATAAATCTCATTTTTCGAAACTACAATATAATATCGCTACTTTCTGCCAATTATAAGCTACAATATTTTCGGAGCAATAAAAAATAACTATACGGATTACTTCCCCGCCACCTAACACCTTTTCTCTTACAGAAAATTAAATTAGAGGGAGTAGATAAAATATTGATTGTGACCTTATGGCCAACACAACCTTGGTTTCAACTGTTTACATCAATGTTGATCGATGATATTCTGATTTTGTCACTATTTTAATTAAATTTATTATTATCCCCTTGTAGGTCTCTGAAGCATCAGTTGGCAACATTACCTGGTTGCAAGAAGGCTCTCAAGAGAACATACCAGCAAAGAGATCTGCCAAAACAAACTTTGGATATCTTGATCTCTTCATTATCTGATTAGAACTTTGACGATAGATGCAGCTTTCTTAGTATTTAGAAAGGGTAAAGTAAAAAAAAAGAAAAAGGTAAAGTAGTTGTGCCATACGTGTCACGATTATTTTCCTTATTATTTTCTACGAATTTTCCAGATAATAATGAAACAATCGATTATATAAATGTGTTATTCTTGCTTAATATGCAATATATACGCAATCGGTAATGCTTTCGTATCAATTTGTAATTACATTCAATCTAACAACCTAATAGTGAATGATCTAAGCTACAAGGAATGGTATTAAAGTATACACGAATTAAGTATTTATAGAAGAAGGCATTTTATAAATGAGATAAAAAATCTTGTATTAATTATTTAATGATCTTATTGCGCAATAATGTAAATTAATTACTAATTATATTTTACAAAAATAAGTGCATTAAACTTGAACGATTAAGTAAGATAAGAGCGCAACAAGATTTTTTAAATAATTAATATAAGAAAGATGAAATCTCTTACCGTAGTATCTGTTAAGGATAATCTTCCAGCACGCAATGACAAATCTGTTACACGAGATGTTCTTCTATGTTGAGAATTCCATGTATAAGCACGACGTCTTGGCACTGATGGTTCAACATCGGCATAAATTGGATATGTCAATGTGCCTGGCATTTTCTATTTTTAGTATGTGAACTTCATACAACGCATTGACTTTAACACTATTTGATTTGACCATTCCAAATTTTTTCTTCTTCAAACAACAAAGAAGAGATTTCATAGAAAATTTGATTAAAATAAAAATATTTATTTACTAATATATTAATTAATTGAATATATTATGTAAGAAATATGTAGAGTTGTCTCATAGTCACAAGACCGATTTTACAAGATGATAGAAGCAATGTCTACATATGTTTGATCAAGAAAATATTAAAAATATAATTCTCATTACACCTACAATGAGCACAAGTAATAAACACTTTAGTTAAATTGTTGAATTATTTATATAAGAACTTTACTTTGATATAATAATAATATATAATCTCACTCTTGAAATTGCCATTAATAAGAGCAAGTTCGATACTAAATGAACGGAAATTATTAAAATCTTACGAGATAAGAGAGATAGATGCTTTAAATCATTTCGCGATAAGACGTACGTACGATCACATGGAAAACATGCTAGCGCATTCTGATTAACACACTTGTATATTTATAGATGGCCATACCGTATTTAGCGAATCAACAATTTCGATAAATTTCATTTTTCCTTTTGTTAAATATTTCTATTTTTAATCAAATATCTAATGTGTATGTTTGTTTTCTTCTTTAACAATCTTAGATCAATTATTTCTTATTGCATAAGTAATCATACGAAAGTGTTCTTTAAAGAATTTTAATTGCTTTTACATTAATATTGAAATATCTTTTGAATATTTATCTATAATTACTTTAATTATTACACGTAAAATAATTTTTTCAAATCCATATTTTTTATTTGCATATTTCCTCGTTGCAAAGTGGCGCCTACTTTTAAAATTCCCAATGAATGATAAATACTTACTTATGTTTGTACGAATTAAACGATAGCAAGAAAATGTGAAATATTTTATTTGCAAAGAAAATAGAAATTTTATTTTTATATTTTTTGATCAATCAATTCTGCTTAGTATGTCCAACGATGAAGACACTGTTTTGAAGATTGTTTGTGAAAAATTTGTTTCGTACAGTAGCGCCCCTTTGAAATTGCGGCAAAAGGAAAAAGCTCTCACCCCTACTATTGATTTACGCATCACGCTTGAATTGTGTGTGTGGACTGACTGTAGCATCTGAATCTGAATGAATCCGATTTTGAATGAATCGTACAGCTTAATGACAAAGAATAATATACGTATTTAATAAAATTTAAGATAAAAGATTTATCGATTCTACTATACTTAACTATCTATTGCATTTTTTTAATCGAATTTTCTTTATACATTTATCCATCGTTTATAAATTAGTCATCGCTGAAATATCGAGAATTACAAAATTTTAAATAACAATCGTTTTCTTTTCTATACAAAAAATCCTTCTTACGTTTTTCTTCTTCGTGATTCGAGTTCATATAATTATCGCTTTTACTAAACCAACAATTTGTCTTGAAAGATATGTTTCGACTTTCAATCCGATTGTCTTTGTCAAAATTTGTCATCGAGGAATATATCGAATCGCTCGAATCGACTATATCGTCATAAGTTCGTCGTTCGATAGCATAATTTCGATTTATGCAGGGACCAGGATCGAAAATAAAATCGACTGTACTGGAAGTAGCATCTTTATTTTCTATCTTTTCATTTATTTGAGAATTCTCATGTAAACCCGATGATTTCATAAATTGACTTTCTTCAATATTAATCGAATGATTAGAAATCGAATTACAATCTGTACACTTTGTACATTCTTTTAGATAACAATTGTTTGATCTTTCAATAACAGAACTACGATCGTTTTCATCTTCATTTTCTTCCTCTTGAATATTATTAGAAATATTTTTCAAATTTTTTAACAAAGGTTTTTTGCATTCTGTTTGTATGTATTTAGATTTTGAATTAGGCTTATATGTAGTTCTAGGTTTCAATTTAACTTTTGATCGAGATTTCGATCTAGATTTATTGTTGGATCCAGATTTGACTGTAGATCTAGATCTTGACTTAGAATTATAATTAGATTTAGATTGAGTACCAAATTGTGACTTATCGTTGGATTTGGAATTTACGTTGGGTTTAGATTTATTATATGTAGACTTGACTTTAGATTTTAACTGTACCTTGGACTTTGCTTTAGATTTAGGCTTTACTGTAAATTCATGTTTAGACTGAATCATTGACTTCGTTTCTAAATTAGTCTTAGATATCAGTCCTTCTGATAATTTCGTGTTATCGACTAAATCCTTAGTTTGTTCATTTTTATTATATTCCTTTTTAATCGTAGAAGAAACAGTATCGTTTAATATTTCTTCTTCGGATTTATCTTTTACTTTCGAATAATTTGCTTTCGAAGACGTATCTTTGTCGTAATTTGAAATCAAAAGTTGGAAATTGAAATCGTCTTGTTTCGAAATTGATCTCGAGGCTGGTATCGTTGATTGATTTTCATCATTGTATTTACCTTGAAAACAATGATTCATCTCGTACGTGTTATTAATAAACGCATAGTCTTTACGACCATCTAAACATTGCGTTGATGTATTTATTCTATTTTCCGTTTCTACCTTGAAATAAGGATAATTACAACGAGAACATATTAGCCTCAATTCTTTTTCATTTGTTCCCTGCATCGTTAATTCCGTTTGAATCATAACATTTTCTCGAACAGGTTTTTGATATTTTTCTTTAAAATATTGGGACGACGAATGGTTCGCAATTTTTGTACTTTCTTGCATTTTTCTTCTACGACGTTCACGTACAGATTCGTGACGAGGATATCTAGTTGTCTGTTTTTTTAAAAAATGGGCTTTGCAATGTGCACAGTAATTGTCAACAACGCGATTGGTTGATAATTTATCAGTTAGTTCTTTTTTCATTTTAATAGAAATATCATTTTTCATGGCTTCTTTACAATGACAGGATGTAAAGTGATTTGAAAAATATTGATTTTCACGTTGGAACAAAATATTTGGGCCCCTTGTACGATCCCATCTTTCCTTAAGGGATTTATATGTTTTTCGTCCCAATATAGATTTACGAGCAATTTTCAATAAAGTTTGAAAAGAAGAATTTTTACATGATACACGATTAAACCTATCTAGGGAAGTTTGTGTGCTAACATTCATGGACGAGTGAAAGTATACTTGATTAGACTTTGCGTCCTTGGTTTTATTGGCCAAATTATCCTCTTTTTTATCGTCTTTGCTTGATAATAACTTGTCTTTGGAATCTGCGTAAATACTACCACCTGTTTTCCTCTCCATTGAATTATTTTTCAAATGCTTTTCATGATTCTTTATAATAAGGGCATTTTCATCGAGCTCTTTGGATTGTTTCGGTGAAGATTTCTCACTTTTTATAGTTTTTTCTTTATTTGCAACAATCAAATTTGAAAATGGCGGGTCACTAGAGGAGATCACATTTTCTGGACCAATATTTTTTTCCAAACAATTGGATAAAGATTTGGAACGTGGTATGGCTTGCAAATTGTGACATTTTGGTTGCTTTAATGGACATTTTGAGTAAGGTTCTAGAATATTAGGGAAATCCCTATCAGGGTCTGGAATACCTTGAACCAAAGGCAGACCCATTTTTGTCCAAACTGTTTTTGTTATCCAAAATCTCATGCAACGCGATACGCAAGCATTTTTGATTGATTGATTATATTTATCGTTTTTACAATATCCTTTTATTGCTAAACATTCTGTCCAAGGATCTGGTATACCTCCGTAAGTTTTTTTCATATATTTCGTTGCATCGTTGTTGTACTCACCGAAGGAACAACTAACGAAAGGTGAAATTTTTAACAATTTCGGTGAATAAAATGGACCGCGTACTACTTCGCGTATTTTTATTGGATTTGTACTATTTAATCGTTTAGGTGAAACCCATTCTTGTTTCCATTGTGTGTGAATCCTATATTCGTCGCATTTTTTTATATCTTCTACATTTTGTATGCCTACATTGTCGATCTTTTTCTTAAAACATTCAGAGTTCATAGCTTTAAGAAAAGCACCTTTTAAATGTATAAATTCACTGTGTATACGTTAAAAATGACATGTTTTTTGTAGGTTGTCTCAATTTTCGTAAAAATTCAAATATAATGTGTTATACAGCGATTTTTTTCATGCTCATTTATTGAAATTATCTATTATACTTTTAAAAAAATGTCTCCGCATTTATGAATCTTTACACCGCTAGGTGGCGCGCAGATCGTAACTCTCAATAATTCGATATATTTCTAACCTTTATAGTTACAACGTATATGATTACCGGGATTTCGTACTATTGTGCAATGGGATGCAATTGCAAGAGTGTTTAGAGTTGAGATTTGTATACAAGCTTTGCACACCGAATATAATTCTGATGTGACAAAATGTCTCTGCTAAATTCTTTGCCGAAAACCCTTAACGGGCTTTCTAAAACTATTTCTCGTAGTGTTCCTGCTTTATTTTACCATCCAAATGTAAGTATTTTTTTAGTTGTAACCTATCGTGAGATACTTTTTGTATATTTTGTATATTTTAATTTTAATCTATCTATATTTATATGTACATAACACATGCATTTTTGGCTTTTGTATAATTTTCATAAAACTTGTAAATTAAGGTTAAATTTATACATTATTTTGTCATTAATTTTCTTATAATGCTTATTGCGACAAACTGCATAATTCTATTTTAATTTTATATATTAAGTCAATTTAAATCTATATATAAGTCTTTATAATTCTAAAATAAATCAAGCGTGTGTTTTTACATACACATACAAGCTGCGTATGATATGCAGCAGACATAGCTGTAATACTTTAATATGATCAATATTTACTTATTAATCCTTATCGGTCGTTTGTCACTTCTCACGTGAGAACAGTACTTGGGCAGTGCTATCATAAATCACGTGAAAGATGGCAAGATGAAATATGTTAAAACTTGCCTTCTATGAAATATATGCTTATATTTGTAATTAATATAAAAATACGAATTCTTACTTATAATTATTTTATTTACTTGTATGCAGGTAATAGATCATTACGAAAATCCTAGAAATGTAGGTTCATTGGACAAAAATGATACACGAGTAGGCACAGGTCTTGTAGGTGCTCCAGCATGTGGTGATGTTATGAAACTGCAAATCAAAGTAGATAAAGATGGAAAAATTATTGATGCTAAATTCAAGACCTTTGGATGTGGTTCAGCTATCGCTTCTAGTTCTCTAGCTACTGAATGGGTGAAAGGAAAAACAGTATGTTACCTACATTTCTATTACTTTCCATAATTAGAAAATATTATATATCATTATGTGAATGATTTTGTTATAGGTCGATGAAGCTTTGAAATTAAAGAATACAGATATTGCGAAGGAACTTTGTTTACCACCAGTCAAGCTACACTGTTCGAGTAAGTAAACATATTCTCTTTTTTTAATTTTCAAAAGTATGTATAATACAAAGAATATAAGAATATTTTTATAAAAGATAATACAAGTACTATAGAAAATGATATCAAGTAATTATATGGTTGTACATTTTATAGTGCTTGCAGAAGATGCGATTAAGGCTGCTTTATCAGATTACCGTATCAAGCAACAAAGTAAGGCAAATTCCGCTGAAGATAGCAATAGCGCAGAGGTAAAAGCTTAAATGAATCTCTTTCCAAAATTATAGTATAAAAAAAATAAAAAAAGTACAATGATTTTGTGTTACCGTTAACGCAATTTCATTATTAGATAGGATAAGTTAACGCATGTATTTTCACATATATATATATTATTTTATGATGATTATAAGATCATAAAAAGAAAACATATATTTTCTTTATAGCAACTATATAAAGTTGTTTGGTGATATATATATATATATAGGATAGATTAAAGATACACTATTTTACTTTTATGTAAAGACGAATAAATTCGATCATTTAAAACTAACTACGCGAACTTTTTTATTCAGTGAAAATTTTCTTAAATATACGAATAAGAATGAATGAACAATATACGTTTTATATAAATACCAATGACAATTATAAATTTAAGAAACTATAAAATATCTGCATTATATAACAAAATTATAAAAAGAGCGAAAGACGATTCTTTCGTAAGCGGAAGTAATGAACACAAACGATACTTATGTTTTTCGCGTAACGTAATATTTACGACAGTAGAAAGGAAAATCCGAGGGTATGATGAACTAACGTCAATTGCGTTCAATATGTTGACAAAAACATTTCCGTTGCAGAGCCTCATCGCTAGGCAAAACTATATTGCGTCATCTAAATGACGTAATAAACGACGGCCATTGACGCGGCCGTTATCAATAGAAGGCGCAACCTGAATTGTTCACAAGATATTTTATTAAAACGTTATGCGTTATTAATTAAATATCGAATTGATATAGTTTTGTTTACTAGCTTTTTATAAACAATTCGTTTGAACACGTAATATAAAACACTTATCTCAAATATTATCCGAGAGTAACCCAATTGATATTGCTTCGAGGTATTTATTTGGTAATCAAAATATCGTTAAACGTAATTGACGATAATATTTTATCATTTCTTCAAAATATTCTAAATGTTATATATTTTATTAATATTATCTTTGTGTTGTTAACAAATTTAGAGAAATGTAATAGCTCCTTTCATACAAACATTTTCATTTATAAACAAATGATGAGTCACGTAAGCAGTTAAATAGAACAGTATTAGTATAGTCATTGGACCTTCGAAAGATATTTTTTGTGTTTACAATGTTGTGTCATATCCCCCATAGAAAAACAAATAATAAACACCTACTCACTTTCTCTTTCTCTCTCTCCTTTTGTGTGATAACTTAAATAATAGAATTACTCAAGAGAAAAAATATTATTAATAACAAAACGTTTCTTTTATATACAAAGCACATCCTCTTTCAAAGTTTCTATCGACATAGTTCATTCTACAAATGTTATCGCGCAACGTTAATTGGTGCTTAATAAGAATGAATTTAAATTGACTCATCTTCGCTCGTTGTTAACAATTGTGTGTATTTTAAGTCACAAGTAGAGCAATTCGTTTGTCAAACTTTTCTTTTTCACTTTTCCATTATATAAATGCTTTCGAACATTCTAGACAATAATCATAGTAGAAATTGACTTTTTGATAGAATCGTATTGTTCTTTTCTCTTATTTTTCCAAGATAGAAATATCTTCTATGATCTTTTTATCTTTCCAGCTATCTTAAAGTATGAATTATCGTTTCAAGCATCGTCTTCAAACGTTTCAACTAATTAACAAAAACTAACAACGGCGATAACGTTTATATAAGATAACTCATATAACGTGATTAATTTGAAGATTTTCAAGGTTGCTGTTTTCGTTTTCTTCTTTATCTTCATTATTCTTCGTTTTTTTATCCTTTTATTCGTTTCATGAAAGTTTAAACGGTTTATCTTATATTTTTTGAGATTTAATTGAAAGATTTCTTCTTGTGTTAATCGGTACATAACATTCTACTTGAATTACATTAGGAAAAACTTAAAAAATAAAATAACTATATTTCATAGAGCACAAATGTGCATTTAATTAGATCACATGGAATCCATAATACGTGTGTAATTTTATATCACGAGATATCGAATATCTCTCAGCACACTTATCGCAGTTTGGTAGATCTAGCACAAATACTTCATAACACGCGTAAAACGGATATCGGCATAGTTCGTCAAAGATGTTCTATATTGCTAATGATAAAAGGTGTGTACGCGCTTACAAATATATCGGTTACTCATAAAATGTATTATCCGTTTCCTCAATTACCACAGTCAAATATTTTCTTCTTTTCCTTTTTCTTTACAATTTTCTAAAGTTATTTTTACTTGTCTAACTACCTAAAATTATTAACTATAGTTAAACTTGCGTGTTACGTTTATCAATTAAATAAATTATGATTTAATTTATTTCTCACATATTTAAATGAAAGTTTTTAAAAATATTCGAATAAAAGAAAAGAACTTATAAATGATAAATTTGAACTCGCTAGAGATATGAATGATTATTACGGTATTATAATAAATCGTAAAGTCGTATGATTGTAGTTGATTGTGAAACAACAGGGGCGTCTTATCATATGCCAATTACTGTATTTCTTTTTATACGGTTCAACGATCATTTTTTGTTTAAATTGTCCCTTTGAAAAACATAGCTTAATGTACTTTCGACTTGGAACCTTCTGCTATGGTAATAAGATTTATCAATGGGATACGTTATCTTGTTTACCGTGGTGCCTATTGCGTTTAATAATACTCGACTTCTTCAATAGATTCTTCAAATTCACAAGGTGGCTCGTACAAAACGTTAGAAATTGCAATTACATTGATACAATTAAATGACCATTTAAAATAAATTCTTTATTCTCGTATTACGTAATAAGATTTTTCAAGAAAAAAATCTCAAATATTTCCTCAATTGAAATTTAATTAAATGTTGTTTTACGAGCTTAAAAAAGATCGAATAACATTTTAGATCGATCACACGGTACGTACAATACAGCAGGTCAATAACACATTAATAAAAGTTACGACGAAGTAATTGGAATTTAAAATTAAACAAACAATTCATTGATATTTTTGTTTATTTTGATATAAAAAAAAGAAATTAAAGAATGCGCGTTGGGATTTCACGAAACTGATGCAAGAGAATTCAACTATGCACAAAGAAATCGTTGTTTCTTTTTTCTATCAATAAAATTATCACTTTTAGAGCAACACGTAATAACCTTGAGTAGTAACCACTTGATTTTCTTTATCTTTTTTTATGATAAAAAAATACGTTACATCGTTAACACGTCTATCGATCGTCAATCGATACAATCTGTTCAACCACATTTTCCAACTATAATGAAGAAAATATCTGTAAAGCTTAATATAAAACAATATTGCATTTGTAAAAATATTTTCTGATTGTGCACCTATTTACCAAGAAGAAAATCATAAAAAATTTTAACGGAAGATCATGGTCGAAATCAATATTTTTCTAACATATACGGGTACGTCTATCGTGTACCTTGGATTTTAAGTGGAACGCGCCGATCATGGTGGTAAATATTAAAGTTCACTGAGCGTAAAGAGGGAAGAAGAAAAAGAATAACGAAGTAACTTGCGTATTTCCAGCACGTGCTTCTGACAAATTTTCCATTCCCTCTATACGCGGTGTTTCTTGTGCAAAGCCCAAAGGAGGAGTGGGAGAAATCGACGAGACTGACGCTACTAGACACGTGAGAGTTTATCAATCTACGAGTTATAAGGGGTGGAGAGGAGAAGGAAAAGGTAGAGAAAGAAAAAGGTTACTCGAAACGTGATACATAGGGAAGAGACATTAACAAAGGATAGCAATAAAGGATAGTACAAAGAGAAAGAAAGAAAGAAAAAAATATAGAAAGGCAAATAGATATTTAAACTCGTGCATACTCGTGCAGTTTCGGGTACAAAGAAGAAAGATCACGCATGCTGGAGTATGAAGGAGTGGGGGGTAAGGACTGGATCGGTTGGTAGTAGTGGGGTGAAGCAGGGTAGGGAGATCTGCGTGGTAGACAGCTGATCAGTCCGCTCGTGTCGTACGATCGAGTGAAAGGTACAGTCAGTCGGTGGATCCTCTTTCGTAAAGAATCTCTCATGTTTCTCTCGTTAAGTTACGTGTTGTGACAAGGGCACTTCTGTTAGCAAATTTTTGTCTACATGATATCGTCGTCGCTCTTTATGCCATTTGAAATAAACTCGAATTGGGGAATAAAAGGTGCATCGGTTTATTGTCGTCGTCGTGGTAAGCGTCATATCGAGCTTTCCTCGTTGGCGTCATCAGGTCAATTACACCGTGCGCGTTCTTCTCTTTTTCATTTTATTCTTCTTTGTCAAAGAAGCTCGTGGAAGAAGGTGAAGTCTATGACCGGACGAAACGAATGTTTACGTTCCTATCGAGGAAGAAAGTGGTGTGAGAACAGTGGTAGAACGTGTTCTACCTTCGCTTTCATGAGGTTGGAGAAAAAAGAAGAGGAGGACGCGAGGGCGGACTATATGATTTGCAAGCATTGATAATCGTATTGTCCCGTAGTGTGACAGACATACAAACACCTACACATTCATGTGTAAACGTATATACTACTTTGGTGCAGTTACTCCCTCCGTTAACATCCTTGCTATTTTATTTTCCTTCTCTTTATTTATCTATTGCCCGTCACAACGTCGTTTTTGTTGACACGTTTAATCATCATATATCGATAGGAAGTTTTATTAGCAGCAATCGTGTTTCTTTATATCTCTGTATTCGGTTTATATTGGCGGTAAAGTACAAAGCTTAAAATTCATGACAATGCAACGAGTTCAAGATCAAGACAATGGGATCAACATCAAGTTTGGATCAAACAAGTCCAAAAAGGGAGATTATCAATTGGTTTCGCAAGAAAAGACAAAGGAAAGAAAAAGCAATCATAATGGGACCAATAAACACGGTATGTATCACTTTTTTCTCTTCCTTTTACTTTTTTTTTTTTTTATCTTTCTCGTTCTTTTCTGTTACGCGCGTGAATAGTTTTTCATTGTTTGGATCGCCAACGTACTTGGCGGGAAATATGTTATTTTTGAATTTATGTAGAAAAACAGTCGTGTTATACGAACATACGGTGCGTGATTATTTTTTGCTCGCATTCAGTTACTAAAAATAACGTTCTTCCTTGAAAAAAGTTGGTCATTTACGTGATATATTAAACGCATAAATTATTTCTATCGTAATCGCTTTATTGATCTCGCTCGTATACAAATTTATTATTCACGAATATGAAGGTAAATTTATGTGTAAAGTTTTATCTATTACAAATTTAGTTTCTCCTGTTGCTAAATGTTATTATTTTTATAAAATGTAATTATTTTTAAGAATTAAAAAAAAATACCTTTGTTTAAATGCATTTTATATTTTGATTAAAGATGTGACAACGGAAGAAGAATTAGTACCTCCAGATGGAGGCTGGGGATGGCTGGTACTTTTGGCATCTGTTCTTGTCAATGTCCTTATTCCAGGAATGGTTAAATCTTTTGGAGTTTTATTTGTTGAATTTCGTAAAGTATTTGATGCATCTCCTGCTGCAGCTGCTTGGATTCCTGCCTTATGTTATTTCCTCTACAGTTCACTTGGTAAAATATAATTTCAATATTTATCTAATTAAACTTCAAATATCATTCAAGTTATATATATATATATAAATAAGTTAATTAATTGAATGTTAAATATTATTTTTAGGTCCATTATCCAGCGTGCTTTCGGTTAAGTACTCATATCGAACAGTTTCATTATTAGGAGGTACATCTGCAGCAGTGGGAATGATGATAAGTTATTTTGCAGACTCTGTTGGCTTTTTGTGTGTTAGGTAATTGAATAACTTTTTATATTTCAAATATTTATAATATCAAATGAATAATCTAAAAATGAAAAAAAATAATACTTTTAGTTTTGGAGTATTGGTAGGAACAGGAGCAGGATTGGCCTTCCCTCCAACAGTATATATTGTAACATCCTATTTTGTACGACTACGAGGACTAGCCAATGGTTTGTGCATCTCAGGGAGTGCTTTAGGTTCTATATTTCTTCCACCACTTCTCGGGCTTCTTTTACAAGAGTATGGTTACAGGTAAATATGCTCTTAACAAAATTATAATAATTTTAGACTTAATTTTATTATATGATAGTACAATGTCTACGTTGAGTACTTTGTTCTGTAAATTATTGAGGTCGGTTTTGTATAGATAAAAAGAAAGTTTATCTAAAAGATTTCTTTTGGAAAGTATAATTGACCCTTAAAAATTTACAGAATATCAGTACTATTTACTTATTACAGTAAAGTGTATTTGAATGTGAATGTGTATATAAGTATATAGTGTTTGATATTTAAACATTCATTAATTTCAATTAATATTGAGGTGAGTACACTGTTGTAATATTGTATTATTTATTTACTTCTATACTTCCATAATTTTCAGGAGAACAATTAGATTTTTTAAATGTGAGTATGGAACGTACTAAATAATGCAGACTATCTCTTATCTATTCGTTTTTTTGTTACAGACAACAGTGTGTAAAGACACAGAAACAATTAATAGGAAAATTCTTATTACTTGTGTGATCTTAATTTTATAATATTTTTTTTTTTACAGATTTATATATATATGTATATATCTAAAATGAAATTAATCAAATATTCTAAATATTTATATTTTTTATATAATATCGATATAGTTTTTTGTGATTACATAAGTATAAGTTTAATTATTGAAAATATGAAAGTATCTTAGTTGTAGATTAATTCAATGCATGATATTTAATAGTGTTTGTGTAATATATAATATTTCATTAGATATAAATGAGACATTAGAAATTGTTATATATTTGCGTGCGTGCGTGAATGTGTATTATGATTTTCAGATATATATTATTAATATTAAAAATGATTACACTCATTTAATGGATATTTATCTTTTTATTCCTATAAGTTATTATATTCCTACTACATATCATTTATTATCTTTTGAAAATGAATAAAAAATTACATTATCATTATATTAAGATACATTTATAACAAGTGTCATTTCATCTCAATTATTGCGTAAGATTCAAATTCATGCACTTTTATCTTCATCTTTAATTATTAATAATATTGTAAAAAAAATGTTCACCTTTCAGTTTGATGATTGCAGTATAATTAAATAACGCAACTTTGCTTTCTTACAGAGGTGCAGTATTAATAATGGGAGCTCTTACTTTAAACGTATGGGCTTGTGCTTTGTTATACGATCCAGTGGAAAAACACATGATTCCTGCACGACCATCACACAATTCGAAAGATCATAAAAACGTAGAAAGTACACCGATTGCTATTACTATTCCTGAAGATGAAAGTAACCAAAATAATGTGATTTCTTCCGACAACTCGAGCTGTGAAAAAGCTTCGCCTATAGTGCCAAAAAGCGCGTCTAGCGTTGCATTGGAAAATTATAAAAATACTCCGGTTCAAGGAAGAACTAGAAAAATTAGTATGCCAACTGGCCGTGAAATAACTGGACAAATGCATAGTACACCAGCCTTACACGCAGTACCTGAAAGAGGAGCTGAAACAGGAAAGTTGATAAAACGTAAATCAACCACTCAATCTCCTAGTACTTCATCATTTTATTATATTAGTACCCCTCATCATGGCAGCACGTTGTCTGCGTTACATCCTGTACATGCATCCACATTAACACTGAATGCAATATCTAGTACGTTTACAAGGAAAGGCTCTGATCGTGCACTGAAAGAAGACAAAAAGCCGGAAAACAAATTCTTTGATTTCAGCTTATTGAGAGATCCTATGTATCTCGTTATATTGATCTCGAATTCAACAAATGCTGTTAGTTATACAAATTTTGTTATATATTTGCCAGCTTATGCAGATTCGTTAGGGTTTGACAAAAGTATGGGTCCACTTCTTCTGTCTATCGTATCGATTTTAGATCTCATTGGACGTATCGGTGGATCCGCATTATCCGATATGAACTTAATGCCAAAACATTGGTATTTCGTTGGTGGCTTATTTGCTTCAGGAGTTTCCTTAACAATATTACCAACAGCAAACACTTATACCTTATTATCTGTATATTGTGGAATATTCGGATTAGCTTCTGGTATATACGTCGGAGTTACCGCAGTTATTATGGCTGATATGCTTGGCACTGAGAAACTTACTTCATCCTATGGCATTTCTTTATTCGTTAATGGAATTCTACAACTTATAGGCCCTCCAATTTGTGGTGTCGTTTATCAAGAAATTGTACAATACGGTCCCATTTTTAGTGTCTTGGGTATCATTTTAGTTATAGGTTCAATGCTATGGGGCTTTGTTCCTTTCATTAAAAAGAAGCCAAAAGAATCAGAAGCTAACAGCCCAATAGACAAAGTATAGTAATCTAAACTTTTTACTAATATATTGAACAATTTATTCGAGCAAAAAATTGTATACGATTATCGATCGTGACATCCTTGTTAGGAACTTTATCATTTAACTTGAAAAAATTGGCACAACATCGTGAGACTAATATTTATATATATCATATATTAAAAGAAGAAAAAAAAAAGAAACTTATAGACAATTATTTAGCACTGTGATGCTGTATATATTTTACACGCACATTTACTATTCAATTATTAAGAGAGGTATTATAAAAATTTAGGAAAACTTTTTGAAGACATTAAGTCTTTCTTTTTTCACAAACAAAACCAATTAAAAAAACCTTGCCTTGCACATAGGATTATTGCTCCTTGAAAGTAAGAATTTCAATTATAAATAATAATTATAGATATATATACATCATTACGCGTTCGTGCGTATTGTTATTATGTGTGTGTATGTAATGTGCGCGCGCGTGTTTGATTTTTATTTAGTACTTAATATAAAGTAATGAAGTTGGTGCTATTTATGTTAAATGGATAAATGCATTTTGTTAAATGTATCATTTTTTTAAGATCTTTTCAATTTTTATTCATTTTTCATATTAATTTCATAATAGAAAACCACATGTATTTTATATTATTGTTACTTAACATATTTTCAGCAATTAATTATTGAAAACAACAAAAATTTATGACATGGAGTGAATTGAAATGATTTCCTTTTAATATTAATCTGTTTTTACTATTTTAATTTTGTCAAAATCACCGAAAATATGCCTTACTACGCGATAGATTTTAAGCACTTTGTAATTAATAATAAATTAAATTAAGTTTATATAGGTCTGTACACAAATGTAAAATAAAAAGTAACGTAACAGATATATAATTGTAATGAATATGCAAGTACTTTTTGTATAAATGAGCACTTGATTATATTATGCGTAAATAATATATATATATATATATATATATATAATTGGAGTATATATATACTCCATCTTTATAAGAATAATATAACTATAGATATGTAACGAAAAATGACTTTATTGACGAAATATTGCAATATAACACTTGTCATCGCAATCAACTTGTCAATTATCTACAGCTTAGTAATGAATATTATGTATTCACGTATGATTCTGATATTTAACAGAACACATTTTCGGAATATATAATAATCGAACAAATTAATTCTTATTCATTACATTACCAATTATTTATTTTTTTGTTTGTTCCGGTACTACATCTTCAACAGCTGGTGCTGTATCTCTAAAATTTGGAAATTGTTCCCAAGGTGCGGATAAATCAAACTTTCTAAATTCTTGCGCTAATTCCAATGGTTCTGCTACTACCCTCTTTTTCTCATCATCGTAACGAACCTAAAGATAACAATTATTAAAAGGTTTATAGAATAATGTAAAACAAAGCATCATTTATATTTAATATTTAAACGCTTGTTACCTCCATATATCCGCTTAATGGGAAATCTTTTCTCATTGGATGTCCCTCAAAACCATAATCTGTTAGAATTCTACGGAGATCAGGATGACGATCGAAATAAACACCAAACATATCCCATACTTCACGTTCATACCATTCAGCACCTTTGAATTCTTCGGTTATTGAGTCTATTGGGGATAATTCATCCGTGTATGTTTTTACTCTGATACGAGAGTTATATACAAGGGATAAAAAGTGATAGACAACCTGAAATAATTTGAAAATAAAATGTATTTCTATTTAATTGATGGAGTAATTAGAAAAACAATTGTATGACTTACTTCGAATCTGTATTGTCTATTAGGTACATCCACTGCAGTAATATCAACTATATTATTAAATTGTGCATTATGATGGCATCTTAAAAATGCCACTGTTGGAAAAACACCAGAAGGTGCTATCAAGAGTTCAAGTTCATCCTTATTAATTATTTGAACCTTTTGTATGTATTTTGGTAAGCATTCAGAAACATACCGACCAAAGTCTTTTAAACGAGCAATATCAATGTAAGTATTAGGTTTACGTACAGTAGCTATAAACGCAAATATCTAAGATTAGTTTAATATTATAATTAATAATCAATAACAAAATCTTTGTGCTTAATAAAAAAAATAGATAATATTAAGTATATATTGAAGTATTGTATTTTATAATTATGCAATAAATTATTTGATACAATATAAATGTAATTAGAATAATTTGCAATAAAAAAAAAAAGAGAGAAAGATTAATAATTAAACTTACGTCGAGTTTCTACTTTTTCTGTTTCTTCTGTTACTTCTGTACTATTGTATCGTATCAATGAAAGAGGTTTCACATAACCTAAGGTAAAAAAATAGATCGTTATATAATTTAACTTGATATTGAATTTATATTGAATAGAAATGATTTACGTTTAGGAACATTTGCAGTAAGATTTTGAGATAATTTCCAACAATTTCTTAACAAGGATGTCATGTTAAAAATGTTTAATTTCAATGTAAGATTTTAACTGTACATATGACCGAACGTCACTGAGCACTGGTAGCACCTACTAACACTCGTTGCAAGTAGATGACACTTTTGTCTCAGGACATGAAACTTTTTGAATTCTTATTTATTTTTAATAACAATTAGAAAAATTGTTGTTTTTTTTTTATTTTAATTTTAATGGTAAATATTATATAATTTTTATTGTAATGTTACAAAATGAAAAATTAATGTTATAACAATTTCTAGTATGATTATACATTTGTTGTTTATATATTATTATTTTAATATGTAATTTTATTATGAACAGTTTATAATATTTGTTGTTGTCAATATAGTTGTCAACTGTGTTGTATATTTTTTAAAGCATTACGTTGTTCCAATGATTGTATTTCTACAAGAATACTTGCTACTGCATGTCTAAAGTGATGAAATTGTGCTAAAGAGAGTTCAAATGAATGAGTTTCTCCGGTATCAAATATACATTCCAATATAATACATGGTTCTAGCACTCTACTTAAAACACTGAAAACAAAAAATAAAAAGTATATTAGTCAAACTATATAGAAAAACAATAAGTCATAAATTAAATTAACAATTCAAATATTTCAACATACTTTGATGAAATAACAACGTCTATACGCCATTTGCATGATATCAAACGTGGAAAAAATTTGGTTTTTTTCATTAAACCTGTAATTAAATCTGCTTTTTTTTGACCAGATATAACGGTATATAAATCCTCAATGCAATCAGAAGGAAGTCTACAAAAAAATACAATATTAAAGTGATCATTAATATAAATATTACATGTTCATCAATAATGTTTACATAGAAATGTATATTTACTTTAATTCTTCTAAAGTTTGTTTAAATTCAGCTGGTTTGATAGAAGACGATACATATTTAAGATATGTTTTTAAAATAATAAAAATAGCTGAAAAATATTCATCTACATCTTCCAAAGGTAAATTATATTTTTGACTGATTCTTTCTAATATACCTCCTTCTATATGTTCTTGTTCAATAGCTTTGACAGCAACTTCAATCAAATAAATAAATATATATTATTTAAAATTAATATTAAGAATAAAACAATAATTTTAAATTAATAATCTTACTTTGTATCAAAGGTCGAACAAATGTTTTTTTCAGTTCTGCCAAATATTTCGTTTTATTTCCTAATGTTGTTAAAAGTTGAGTTTGATATAAGGTTGCCATTTTTTCGAACAAATCAAAATTGTTTATTATTAATTACTTGTAAACATTTATATTATAACATTTTAAATTAATAACGTTAAAATGATTTTGTTGTTATATAAAGTTTATATCATTTTTTTTCTGATTTTAATATGTTATAATATGTTTTTCACGATATAAAGTTTACAATTGTTTTTATATTTTGCTATTCTATTTGACAGTAACAATTCTCAAATCATATGATATGTGTGTCTACTCAAATAATCATCAATGACGTTATATTTAGTCTATCTTCGCGTTTAATCAATGACCAGATTGTAAATTATTATGTCAATAGAATGCAACTGCAGTAACCAAAAATAATCTAGACAATAATATGTTTAGAGGTAAAAATAATAATCTTGTTTGAGATAGAAATAAATATTTTATTACTGTTAAAATACATTTGTTTATTATATAAAAAATGATTTACATTGCATTCATTTTTATTAATTTAACAAATGTATATTTGGAAATCTGTATTTTATTACCGACTGGTAGCATCAGTGTTGCCATCTAGCGGTACTAGCTATTACTTCATATTACCGACTGCTAGAATATGTGCCGCCATCTAACGGTACTAGCTATTACTTCATCTTATCGTATGGTAAAATATGTGCCGCCATCTAGCGGTACTACCTATTATCAATGAGCATTGACTGAACTTTTCGTAGACTCATACATTGATGAAATTCTTCGTAGCTCGTTGATTCGCTAAAATCGAAAAAATTTTTTTCGTGCATGCGATCATTGACTGAACTTTTCGTAGACTCGTGCATTGACGATTAAGAGTGATATTAATATTCGTTTCAAATATCATATACGCTTAGTTTAAACGCATAATATATTTTTTCATGAACTACTAAAAGTTTGCAAAATTTGAAAAAAAAAAATCTTAGGTTAACATTTCTAAGCCTCTCCTCTTTAGCTGAAGTTCGACGATAATCGAGGCGGGTAATATTCAAATTGACGTCATACTATTCAAAGATGATCAATTTCTCTCTTTATCATATTCACTTTATTCTCATTGGAAGATTAGAAGGTTAATACTAAAAAGAACGTTTGTCGATTCGTCGAGATTTTTAGCCATAGTCAAGGAATCGTTTGGTTATTCGAATATCCGGCAAAAATAAACGACCTAGGCACAGTTGGCTTCGTCAATTGTAAACGTTTAAGAGTCCGCTGACCCGCTAAATTTTGATGATTCCCATTGAAATCACATGCAGAAAAAAAAAAGCATATGTTATCCTCGCATGTCATCTCGAAATAACACGTTTTGCTTTATCGATTACTTCAGCTTGTAATGCATATACTCGTATTCAAATAAAACTGATATTTCTCGGTAAGAGAAATAAAGAAAATAAAGTCGTTTCATTTTCAGGTTATTTCGAGGTGATTACGAAGAAAGAAACGAACGAAACGACGTAACGATGAGCATGAGGCAGAGTATTCTGTAGCAACGTCCTTTTCAGATTTATTTCCGGAGGGGTTGTGGGAAGAGGGAGAGGAATGACATAACACAGCTACGGAACATCATCGACAAGGTCTACAAGAACAACTTGATATATACATATAATTCTTTTTTTTATATCTATGCTCGTGATCCGTATCGATCGGTGCAGCGCATCTCATCTCGTTCTGATCAGGTCACAACTACTGCTTATTAATCGAGCTTGATCCAACTTACCGTCAACAGAAATAGCATAGGCGTTTCTGGGATGGCTAGTCTTACAAATGCATATCTCTCTCTCTTTTTCTCCCTCTCCCTCTCCCTATCCCTCTCTCTCTCTTTTTCTTTTTCCGTGAAGCTCGGAGTAACTATCCGGACATCTTTCAGAACGGCGAGAAAAACAATGTACGAAAAGCCTAATTGTCCTGCGCAGACGTTCGATTCTCTTAGTGAGGCAGGTACATTGCGTGATCGTGATTTCGATTGATTGCCTAATAATAAGAAGCACCGGTTGACTCTCATTGAACACCACCAGTTAAGGATTATCTCTAATGCTGTGACTTCCTTTGAAGATCTTCATTGCAAACCGGCATATCTTCGTTTTTGGTAAAACTTTGTCAAGAAGTAAGTAATGTTCTGCTTTATTTATTTTACATTTATAATTTGCACTAAGAATAATCAGATTATTTTATTATTTATTTTTATAACGAAGACGTACCAACATTTTAGGACTAATAATAAATTTACATTTTATTGACAAAAACTGTATCGTATTATAATCGGCATATCTTCGTTTTTGGTGAAGCTCACTTTGTCAAAAAGTAAGTAACCTTGTACTTTATTTACCCTAGTAGCACAAAATATTGAAAAATATTGAATAGATATGCATTTAATATAAATAAAAAGACATTGAATCTCTTTTTAATACTAAATACACATGTATTTAATAATTTTCAATCTTTTGTGCTACTAGGGTATCATTACATTTATGATTCGCACTAAGAATAATCTGATAAATCATTTTATTATTTTTATTTTTATAACGAAGACGTACCAACATTTTAGGACTAATAATAAATATATATTTTATTGAAAAAGTGTATCACATATTATAAATGAAAATGTTAGTTCTGTTAAAAAACTGCCATTCATTTATAATACAATTATTTCTGAATAAATCAAATGTTTAACATAGAACTAACATCCAATTTTCGATAGACTTACTGTATATATAATGTTTTATACAAAAAATATAAGGTAATTAGCTTGTGGAGCCATCTACGAATATTGCGCGAGACAAGAATGATTTTGAAAATTTATCAACATTTTACAAATTATATATTACACGATGTGTGTGTACATCCTGTATAATATTATTATGTTCCTTCCTACGATCAATTTAATTTAATTATCTTTCTTTACGTGAAGTTTAACATCTATCTTTTGCAAAAAATAAAAATGTCTATCTTTTAGAGGAAGGTTCAAAAAAAATTTGTATTTTTTTTTTGTAGGCTCGATTGAAATAGGTGAAGGTTAATAAATAGTAACGCAAGGTGCCAGCGAAGAAGACGTAGTAAATTTATTGAGTTACTAGCAAATGGTTAGCATGTAACAAAAGGTAATTTTCTATGAGCGTGCCGGTGTGTATCGGAGAGTAACACCTGGCTCAGATTCGCGACTGCGCGATAAATACAGATGTATGTATGTACCAACATATGTCAGGTACCTACAACCCTTAAATGATGATGTTAGTACAATTTAAACTTCAGTATACAATCAGTATTCAATCAAATCAAACTCTTATCAAAAAGAAACAAAGATCGTTTCTTTCTTCTTCTTTCAATTCATTCGACTATACTTTTTTATTTTTATTTATTTATTTGTACTATTGTTTTTTATTTGTTGTTGTATACGTTTTTTTTAGTTGTTGTAAATAATATACGGTTCGCAGATCGAACATATTGATATCATGTCGGATTACGTATGTTTAGGTATCTTTTTTAGTTCATCTTCTTAGATTCATGTTTGATCGATTGATATTATTGAAAAAGAAAAAAAAACATCATTTATAAAATGACTTTATCTTTAGTTTTCTAATTATATGAAATTTAAACAGATTTAGAATGTGCGGAGCTTTTGGAAGAACGGGAAGGTAGCCGCGCCAGAGCGAACGCATTCGGACCATGACCCAGACCTATGCACAGCAGCTCTCTCTCTTGTCGAGAGTGCATCTATGTACGAAATTAGTCGACACGTTGCAAAAGGTCGCATTAAACTTTTCATTGGTCGTAGTCGGCTAAGAAAGGGGCTGCTCTTTATTGAGATACGTTTGACTTTATTTAGATGAGCTTTGTATAATTTGAGTTATGAAATTACTAGAAAATGGAACAAAGTTGTATAATTAAATCTATTTCTTATTTTTTAGGAAAGTTTAATAGTTTTTGTTCATGCTATTGTTTGCGAATAAAACTTGTTACAGTAGGTCTATCGAAAATTTGTTATTTATAAACTTTTATTTGTATTTAAAATATTTATTAGTTAAGAACAAAAAAATACAGTATTGAGGTAAAGGTTAAACGTGAAATTCTTAATATTTAATTTCTAATTATTCTTTTACAGTGATTTTGGAAAAGAAGAGAAGAATTTCTGTTCAAACACAGTTCTGACATGGTATTGAAATTTGTGGACATCCTGTTTCCAACTTCAATGTTAATTTATTTACTTGTTATACTTGTAAGTATATGTACGTCATACAATTTATAGAAAATAATGCTTGTACGATACGTTTTCAATGAATAGAAAGAAAAAACAATTCGTATTATACAATTTAAAGACAAACAAATGTAAACAGTTCATTTAAAGATGCAGATATTGAATAAACAAGTTTATTTTTGTTTATTACCTGTATGAAACGGAGGAGTAAATAATATAGTAAGCCATCTCGAATAGTTTTAACGCCTCTGAATTTTAGTCGCGTCGAATGTCAATGACACGTGCCGATGGTATTTGCACGTGACGGTGAATTAAAGATCATTATGATTCAGGTTGATCTCGCATGCGTGTGTTATTAACAACGTTAACCTCCACACTTCGAGGTGTCATGAATTTTATTGAAGCTCGATATACCATTTTGGTCTTCGGTGCAAATTAAATTGAAAAATTTCTGCCCGAAATTAGAAGCAAGTTCGATATCGTATGCAAGCTTGGTTATATCCTTTGTCGAACGGTTCATTTCGTTTGAGAAGAATCCAGAATCCATTTGAAATAACTAAATATAGGCCTGTTTTCTTCTTTTAACAAATATAATTAAGTTAAGTTCGATCCGATTTAATTTTCTTTTCTTTTTTTTTCAGCATAAGAAAATATCAAACGTTTGTTTCAACTTTTTTAATTCAAATGAAATAAATCTCCGAGAATATAAATCCTTATACAATAGATTTGTTACAAGAGGTAAAAAAAATAAAAGGTGAAAGATGAAAGCGTGCGAGGAATAATATATTCGTTTGAAACGGAGAAAAACTTTTTCAAGGTTGAAATAAACTAAACGCGTGAATCGCGAAAAGTTCTACATACATTTATGTCCATCAATGTCAGAGAAATATGCACGAAGTTGAAGTTAATCGGTCGTGGTTTCCGGACCGTGTATTGCATTCTCTTTCCAATTGAGGAATCAAGAAAACGTGCGTTGTTATTTCACTAACAATAAGTAGTTAACGATCAAATATTGATCACTATAGTAAATGTCTGGGAGTCTTCTTCGAAATTCGATTAATAGAATAAGAATTATCAGGGACTTTCGTGATCTTGAACATTGTTAGTCAATCTTAGCTATCATATGACGTTAAATTCATAGAGAGTATGACTAGATGTTATGCTGTATGCTGGGAAAATTGAAAAGTTGGCTAAGATCCAAAAAGATCGGCGACAAGGCTCATCGGTCGATGTAACATCGCCGAAATAGCACACGCGGAGGGACGAAAATACGAATTTACGTGCACTCGTAAGAATATACCTTACCTAGAGTAACTTTATTCTATCTATTGCTTTTTCTTTCTTTCTTTATCTTCCTAGTTTGAAACTCGTTCGGTCGTTGGCACGACTATCACGTACGTACATACGTTTAATGTACGAAAAACGCTAAAGCAAAGATGATCTCTGATCAAAACAACTTTGTTTATAAATTATTTGAACGATATTTATATCATATCGTAAAATTATATTAACGTTCATCAAATATAATTCAAATTTGCGTTCACTAACCCCCAATGTTTTTTTTTCATTTCGTTGATTGATTTTCAATTGGTTTTCAGGAACCGTTCGAATTTGATGATCCTGTGTCAATAATGGCAAGTTATCGTAGGGTGAAACTCGTAACAACCAATGAAACCATGACTGGCAGCAGTATAGCGAGTAACATGATTGGCGAGTCCAGCGACAACGCAGTCGACACTCTTCGATCGACCACGCGACAAGTAAGCTCGTATTGTACCTTTCTCTCTAACTTTGCATTATCTTCATAGGGTACACCAATCAAAGACAAGTCAACTTTTTTGAAATTTGTTTTTTATTTATCTTTCCTAACTAAAGACATCGGCTAAAATTAATTTGGATTAATGAACTGAGGGTGCGTGTTTTTTTAAAAATATACACGTGTGTGCGTGTGTCAACATAATTTGAATCGGTGAGTACAGTCAAGAAATGATTCGGTTTTCGATAGGACTAGGAAAAAAATATCTTCTATGTTTTTTTTTTTTACCGTATTATAATATACATACGAACTTTACACCTACTCAATGGATATTTCGATTTACACGATAAAAACTGAGGAATAACAGAAGACAGGAAAAAAGAAGCTGGGCAAACTGGAGGGGTTTCTCCCACCAGATCCCCCCATTAATGCATCTTACTGTACATACGTGTAATACATAGATAGATGCGTACATATGCTAATCAGTCGTGCGTACATTTATGCGCACACGAGGCACCGACCGAGGCGCGAGAGCTTAACCGACATATAAATAGCGTGTTTAAAGAGAGCCGCTAGAACTCGTGTATACTTCTTGCGAGACGATCCTAAGGAGTACCGATAGCAATTCAACGAATATCAGTGCTTCTTTCGTTTTCATTTTTTCTAAACAAATTTTCCCAAGGACAAAAATACAAATCGCATCAATTTTGTACGTGCTGTGTTGACGCGCCTAATGATACGACGTATCGGTGATCGTTACAACGTGTTTGTGAATACAAGTAAATCAAATTCATGAGTATTATTTGTAACGTATTTTCTTACAGTAAATGAAGTTTCCTAAACTAACGCGAGGCCTATATCGACGTCATAAGAGTTTACAAAAAAATAGGTCGTTGAAATCGCTGCACGCATACCTGCATCGATCAACTAACGACTGCGTTCTTTTTATCGCGACCCTTTTGCATGTTAATTTTGTTGGGTACGATGGACCTACTAACTTTCTAACGAACCACCATTTTAGTTGGTTTTTATCGATATAAACTTTTACAAGTTTGTGTTGTTAAATACATGAACACAATTCGAATCATTCAAATATATTCAAATAATATAACATAAATATAAATTGTTTATTATTCGTATTTAATTAACGAATTTTGATTGTTGTTTGTTTGATAGAAAGTTCGAAGAGTTTACGGAGAACAGAAGAATTATCAAAAGAACGAAAAGTCACGTAGGGCAAGCAGCGTCGTCAACAATTACAGCATCGTTGCCTCCAGAGGCGAACTATCTCGAAATAACTACACCGTCGATGCTACGTCAAAGGACGTTACGAAGAAACCAACATCTTTCCTCAACTCGAGTAAAATCTATACAAAGGAATCAAATCCTCGTACATCCATCTTCTTCGCTAGGGATTTAATAGGGAAAAATTCTTCCAAGGATATTGACAGGACTCAAATCTCTAATACAAGACTACCTCGAAGTTACAACGGTAGTTCGCGACTTTTGGCTAAGTCTGCCTCAGTCCCAGCAATTCTTGACGAAGGTATTGGCTTCTTTCATTTGTCATATTTATCACGTTTTATTTTTATTGTTTCATGCCATCTCATAAATTCATCATTTCTCGTTTGGCAAACTATCAATTTTTCTTCGAGTCTCTTAGTTATTAACTCTAGTTTTCATCTAAAGTAACAAAGATTAAAGTAAATATAATGTTGAGAAAAGATTTGATTAATTAAAGAAACATTGTTTTTATACGTAGACATATTTTGGTACATATTTCAACTGTTAGGAGATTAAATTTATGATTTTTTGAGAATTTATACAATTAATAATGTCTTACGGCCATTTTTATATTGCATCATGCGTCATTGATACGGCATGAATACCTTGTGTTACATTGAGTCACGATTTTGATTCGTATCATCGTTTCATTCGTATCATTTTTTCATGTATCGGATTTCTGAAGGTCGGTACAAAAAATATTGAAGAAGATCGAAATTCACGTGACAGATTTTATAAGTGAATAAAAATCATTTTGTCTCTTATACTTTTATTAAGGTTTACGAAGGAAAGAAAAATCTCTCGTGAGAGACGAAAGAAAACACGACGAGGGTATACTGAAAAAATCGTCAGCTTTTTTGGCAAGTTTGACTCAAGCGAGTCTTCGATCAGCTGAGAAGAGAGACAACATTGTCGAAGATTCTTCCTGGTTTCCAGAATCTTTGAGATTGAATGGATATAGATCGAGTAGATATTCTACTTTGAAAGGATACTTTACAAATACAAACAGCGAGAACGAACTTAGGCCAGTTTTAGGAAAATCGAGTAGTTCTCAGATTTTGTCAACTAGTTGGAAAAAAAACGCAGGGGTCAACGTGAAGAAATCGGTGTCCTTCAGTTCTGACACTAGTTTTGAGGAGAAGCGAGCACCCTATCGTAAGCCAACTGTTCACGAGGTCAAGGTCTACCACAAGGGCGTGCTTCAAGGTAAACACGCGTCAATTTCGTGCTTTCATTACATTATTTGGCACAAAGAAGTTGTTAGATTTTTTGTTTATTTTCCTACTATGACAATTTACATATTAATTATTATAAGTCGGTTGTATTAAATGCAAATAAGTTGTATTTATTTTTATGACAAATTTTTTACATTTAAATTATAATTTAGAATATTAATTTTTTGTCCAACTATGTTAGATTTTTTATAAAAATGATTAGTCATTTATAGTTGATTAACAATAAGAGAAATAATTGATGAAAATTCGTGTTGCAAATAACACGTTAAGCAATTCCATTTTATTATACTTCATCCTTTATTTTCTAAAATTGATTCTATAAAATGACAGATCGTGCCACTCGCGAAGACAATTTCAAAGCAAAAGTGCCACCTTCGTGGGAAATACCCTCGGAGGGCCCCAAAGCCCTCTTGAGGGCTGCCATGGAAGCCGACGATGCAATTTTGAAAGAAGTCGTGATGCGTGCTCGCAAATCTGATTTGTGTGATGTCGATGTTAATATGACTGACAGTAGCGGCAGGGTGAGTTTATTGAATTATTTTATTATTTTTCTATAACAAATAATGATTACTTGCAAATAATGATAACGATGGAAAAATTATCATCGTTATCATTAGTCATATTTGTGATGGAGATACATTAAAAAAAAAAATATATATATATATATATATATATATAGTTATTTTCACTGTAAAATATGATCTTAGGTATAATGAATTAATGGCCAAACAGGTGTATGTAAATAGATGATGAACTCCGACGAAGCTCTGACGTTAATTTCAAGAGATACTTCAAATCTCTGAACAGTTGTCTCGTCTTTTTTACTCCTTACGTCACAAGATATACTTCCACATAGATAAATTCATTATTTCGTTTACGCTATTCCGATCTTGTTACGATAAGCATGATTTCTTTGTTTTTCTTCACCGTTTGAGAATACGAGCTGCTTCGTTTGATTATTATTTCAAGCGATTTCATTCGAAATTATTTTACGAGGTTACCTATATGAATTGTCTCGACACCCACACGTAATGTATATATCCAATGGAAAATTTGGTTCATTTCAATTAGAAGAGTATAAAAGAAATTGTAAATAAAATCTATTTAATTGGGAATGACAGTAACCAAAAAAATAGAAAGACAAATAATAATATTAATGAAAAGGTTCGATGATATTCACGTGGGATCGATCAAAGTATAACGTAACTCGGTTCCCTTGTATAGACACGTAACTCTGTAGATATAACGCTATCTATGCCATTTTGAAGGATGTCTTCAACGAAAGGGAATTCAAAGGAACAACTTCTCTGTTGGCTACAGAAACTCGATCGCGTGGAATGACAATTTGTATTTATAGCTTACCATATACATTAGTATCGTGCGCGAGCGCGCTTATTGATTTTCCACAGGACAAATGTAGAAAAAGGAATATCTTTTGAATAGCAAAGTTGAATATGAGATCTATTGCTTTTTGAATCAAGAGAGATACCTTTATTGTAATTCAAACACAACTTTGGTTTTCAATCATTATTTTTGTATGTTGCGAATGATATCAATGTTTTTACATCCTTTGATTTATTTCTCTTATTCTTAGATTTGAAAAAGATCTATGAGATATATTTCGAAAATGAAATCATCCAAAGAGACGTATGATGTAATTATATAAATCCTTCGGCATATTCTTCAACAGGAAAACAGTGATGAATTATCCATGCGGAATATTTCTGACCGCATTCCGTATGCGGTAATATCGTAGCAAGATTCAAATCAAATGACTCTCTTCTTCAGCTTTGACCATATTGAGTATGTGCATGGCCATCTTCTTCTTCTTACAATTAGTCTTCTTTTTCTTCAATAACATCAATGACAACGCTGATAAATTTAAAGTAGTTAGAAAAGTTTCTTGAAAGATATCAAGATAATTTATTTTTAAATTAATATAAGAAAAAGAAAAAAAAATATAATCGTTTAAAAATAATATTAACGAGTGTTTTCTGTTTACTTATGAAACGTATATGAAACGTGTTGTTTAAATGAAAGTACGTAATAGGAATATATTTAGCTACTATGAAGAGAGTTGTACGATTAGAAAGAACTAAAGAACGAGAGAGAGAAAGAGAGAAAGAGAGACTTGCGTGCTTGGCTATTCTAATTACGGGCACTGCCGATTGGAAAGATCCTTCTCCCTCGTTCTTTCTTTCTCACTCTTTCTTGTTCTCGTTATGTCTTCCGATGACGTGCTATGCATTGGTGATTTACATTGAATATTATCATGGATCACGAGCAACGTCTTGTCAGGATCGATATTCTCTTGTCGATCTCTTGCATGACGACCAACTTCCGTTCTTTTTTTTTTTTTATAGTGCTGTAAAACAATATATAAATATTACATTTATAATCAAAACATCCATTTAATTAGAGATTATTAATGAATCGAATATTTGTATAAATATGTAATGAAATTTTATTTTATATTACATTCAAAATGAAAAGGAACTTTTTCATGTTGTATTTTACTTGATTGTAAAATATTTATGTTAAAGATCTTGTTTCTGTAATATTTATATTTTTTCTTATTGGCCATTAAAATATGTTACGAAAAGAATCCATTTAATTAGAGATTATTAATGAAACATATATTTCTATCAATATGTAATGAAGTTCTATTTTATATTACATTCAAAATGAAAAGGAACTTTTTCATGTTGTATTTTACTTGACTGTAAAATATTTATGTTAAAGATCTTGTTTCTGTAATATTTATATTTTTTCTTATCTGCCATTAAAATATGTTACAAAAAGAAAGTCAATTATTAGGGGCATAAAAATATGATAAGATCATTGCAAATGTTTCTTTCAAATGATTGAACAAATCCACACCCAGTAAATCGTCGTTTCGTGCTTTAGCACCTACCAAAGTGTATTTCCATGTGGCGCATAGTGACGCAAGTAAAGTAATAACGTTGGGACGATCGTATGAACGTCAGTGGCCACTTAATAAATTGATCCTCGACGGATAGTCCATTATGCGTCTTGTCGAGATCAACGTTGTTGCAGAATGAAACATGTCTTGTATCTTCTCTTCCACAAGTCAGCTACGTGTTGATGATAAGATTTTGCGTATTTTTTTGCGATTTAACTTGCTGCGAATTTGAGGCCTTTTCGTCGAACGTTTGCTATTTTAACTTTTCAAATTACGTCGTTGTAACTTTAAATAGAACAAAACGATAGTAACCGTTGTAGTTAATTCTCTAGTTTATTTCACAGTGTATTTTTTCTCTCTCTATATATATCATCTCTTATTTTAAAAAAACAACCGATGTTTCTGATTATTTCTAAAGGTAATTATTATTAATATTAAATGATTGATATCTCGTTGAAATCGCCCACGTTTTATGTTGACGTCACATTCAAAGACGTTGAGAGTTTACTGCCGTCACAATACTTCTCTACTGATATACCAATTTGTCCGTTAAGAAAATAAACTAACATTATGATTAAATGATTATGTGTGTAGACGGCTATCAGTTATATGGCTGGAAACGGTGCTGCAGCGATGTTGGAGCTAGCACTGTCCTTCGAGGGTGCCGATGTTAACCTTCCCGACAACGAAGGCAACACGCCACTTCATTTTGCAGCTCAAGCTGGTAAGCAGATTATAACGAACAGTATATTCTTTTCTTTTTTTAATTCATTTGCATCTTCAACATCTGCTATAAGTTTCTGTCTTGATTCTGAATGTTGTAACAACTAGAAAAGTAATTAGTAAAATGGATTGCATGTTTCATAGTAATATACATGGTTGAATTATAAAAAAAAGATGCAAATTATAGATCAGTATTTTAAAAAAATCTTTCTGTCGAACACGCGATTTAATACATTTTTTTTTTTGTAATGATACTGCAATCCAAATGTTTATAATTTACAATTTGAAAGAACCTGGTAGACTAGAGTTGCTGTTTATTATTTAAAAAATACGATTTTTACTGCGGTATTCTTGTGAGAACATTTTACGAGAACTTTCTTGAAATATCTTACATATTAATCATTTTGCTCGTTTTATGGCGTAAAGTTGGCAGTATCATTTCACGATTCAGTTAAAGTTTAGCCATGGTTTGTAGTTTGAGAAACGCTGCTTGAGATTATAATTCAGAATAATTTATAAATGGATATTGTCCAAACTAAGAGACTTGATGATTTGCTTGTTTGTTTTCTAATGTTAAAACACATTAACTATTGTTAACACCATTCATTTTAAACACATACATCGATAATTTCTTGCTGATTGTTTAAGAAAATTCATTGGGTTCGTAAGAACTCGTTAAATTTCCAGATCGTTCGTAAATTCGTAGTAGAATTTTAACGGTAGAATCTGTTAAACTTTAACAAGCTCCTTGCGTAGCTCGTACCTTTTGAAATTTTGTAAACATTCGATGAAATGTCGATTAGAAAATGTTTGGAACGCGACTCGAGACTAACGCCAAAGTCTCGTATGTGTGTAGGCAATGCTAACCAACGTTACCGAAAATAACTGAGACTTTAGAGTACTCAATACTCGCGTGGTACGTGATGACGTGCACTGAAAAATTTTCCTTCGTTTTGTGCCTGTTTACTGAATTTATCATTACCTACACATATAATATACTTATTCATTAAAATATATTATATACTCTGGTATTTAACAAATTTTTTTTACACGAATAAAGTAATTTATCTTTGAATATTCGTTTATACTATTGTAGAAATAGTTGAACAATCGGTTTTAGAACTTGTTTCTGTATTTTGATGATTTATTACATGCAAACTAAAGTAGGTTTTTATTTTATTTGCTTATTCATATCGTAGGTCAAACCGAGTGCCTGAACGTTCTTCTTCAAAGGTGTCCCGACATCGAGGTCGATGCAAGAAACACATTGGGATTCACGCCTCTTATGAAGGCAGCCCTTCAAGGACGAACGAAATGTGCTAAAATATTGCTCTTTGCAGGTTGATGATTCATAGCTTTTATTTTCTTTCTAATCAAAATTATATGTTGTTAAATTAACAAGCTATTAATCTTCGGATAGAAAATAACAATTAATTGCATTGAAAAGTATAATTAGATGTATCATAACATTAGTTGATTATTTTTTCTTATTTTTAATATCTTAGGTGCAAATCCTACGTTGCGGGATCATGGAAGAGGATTAAGAGCTGAACAATGGGCAAGATTTTGTGGGAGATACGTTTGTGCTGAAGTAATCGAAAGATTTGCGAGACATCGTTTGTTGGAGAGAACAACATCGTGTCGTTGGGGAAGTGAACCAGAATTGGCAGCAAAGGTTCTTCAAGGAAAGGTATACACGTTGGGTCTTTGAATAAAATATAAATCTTCTGAAATAAATCAATATATTTATTAAATTGATCATTATGAAAATAGATTTTTTGATATGCAACAATGTAATAGTAAAAATATTTACATATTAATTAGTAATGAAAAAGTCTACATTATTAATAAAATACCTATATTAAATAAATAATTAAATACAATATAGGTATTTTTTTTGGATACTTAATTAATAATAAAAATATCTAAATTTGTATTATTTTTCAGCACTCATTCTTATTAAAGTGAAATTTAAATTTGTATCACAGGTAACGCCTATCCCAATAACACCGTTACCAACTTCCTCGACAGGCTTGAAATCGAGGATTAGAAAAGTATTTCGAACGAGTTCGGGTCCCGATCGAAGTTCCTTTTCCTTGGTTTCGCAATTAACGAGTGCAGCTCTTTGCGCGAGTAGTCCTGCGTTGCCAAAGAACGGTCAAGTGCCTCCAGTCGTCAAGAGTCTTCTAAGACCTTTAAGTGTACCCCAGTTAAGGTACGAATTAATTACTTTGATCTAAACGAAACATTTACTTTGTATCTTTCAACATATGTTTTTATTTGATTTTTGTATTTCTTTCTTTTAGAATTACTTTAGTATCGCCGCAAGATTTTATTGATAAAAATGGCGAAAAGTGTGGGGCCAGTTTTGCAGAAAGGATTGAAAGTGCTATTGTGAAACCACCGAGAACGAAAAAGAAAAGCAAGTAATTTATTGATAATCCATAGAAAAATTCCATTGATGGAATGAAAAGGAAAAAGAAAATTGCACAATTTGTGCTTACGTCGTGAAAAATGACCTTTTTAAAGCGTACGACGACATTTTGAAAGTCGAGTAGCTCGTAGGTATGATAGCTTTTTTTACCTCAAAAATCACAGTTGTATCGTCCACGAGGGAGTTTATGGTGGAAAGTCAAAGATCAAAGGAAAGTCCTTGAAACTCTACGAAGGATTTCAAAAGTGTTTTCCACGTTTTACGATCTACGTTTGAAATAGTGTTTATTGTTATACGTGAAAGGCCACAAAAAAAAAATACTGTGGTCATAGTTTGAAAACATTTTTCGAGCCGTTCGAAGGTTTATATTTTTAGATCATCAACTGATTGCTTCGATGCGGTCAGGGGCACTCGATGAAAAATATTTTTTTTTGGTTCCGGATGATAAACTGAATGCTGGAATTACGTCGATTACCATAAGTGGAGTCACGTTGTCCTTAGACGTTTTAAATATTTATCCTGAGAGCAACGACGTCGAAGAAAGCAGCTTGGCGATTTGCCCGAACGAGTGTTTACTCTTAATGAATGATGTTAAACTTCTTTTAAGTACATGTGGTATGAAACTTTTGTATGGACTATTACGATTATCACACGATTGTTTAAATAAACGTCTCGTTTGATATTAGAAGCAGCTTGTTCTCCAAGATACTTCACCCGAAAATCGTTCATTCCGATCTTCGATTTCGGCGCTGCCTTCGATTCTTAGCCTTGGATAATATTTCATAGGCTTGCTGTATTTCCATAAACTTTTCTTGAGCCTTTCGCCTCTCTTCTTGCGTTCCCTTAACTTTATCCGGATGATTATCTCTTGAAAGAGTTCTCCACTTGGCCGTAATTTCATTTTGCGAAGCTGATGGGGATAGATCAAGGACCTACGATGAGAAATAATAATGATTTATGTATTTTTATAATATCAAGAATATTATATAGAAAAAAGGATACCTTATAAGCGTTTATTTCTCCTCGTGGATCGGATAAGTCCACGATTTGAGCCCACGTTGCCCAAAATCCTTGATGAACCGCTTGATTCCAGGTTGCTTTTAAACTTGCCTACAAGTATCAAATATGAAAGGAATATTATTCACGTAATATCGTAACACGAGTACCACGAACAAATGAACAAACCTTAAGGTCAAGCCAAATAGGTGAAGTAAGGAAGTGCCGAATCGCATCGGACAATTTTATTTCTTCACCTTCACTGTCGGTGATAATAGCATTGAAGTACAGATAACTGCCAATCAATGAAAAATACAAGATAATAGCTAAGGATAAAGCGAACATTCTTCTGACCCATCCTCTCTTCTTTTTTGGTTTTAAACGCCATCGTTTGCTGAAAGTGTCGAACGCTAAACTTGATGTCACCACCATGAGAAATACCCAAGTAGTGTCATCTCCGATGTAGTACAGTGTTGGATAAACGAGATAAGCTGAAATAAGTGCTGCCCATATTGTACCCCCTTCTCTACCGACATTTCCAACTGTCCAAACTCCTATTAAATAATAAATAATATCAAATGTAATTAATAAAAAAAAAAAAATATTTAAGCTACCGTTTGGTACTATTTAACTTGGAATGAATTAAAAAATATTTTAGCGTATACTTGGTAAATGTGTATACACAAAGATAAGAACATTGCAAAGTAGAAAACATTGGGAAACGGTTTCGTGAAAAAAAATGTAATACCTAGAGCAATTATTATTGGTGTTAGAATTATTAACTGCCGAAAATTAATTCCATATATCTCATCTTCCGGTATAGCACTGCAATAAATTTCAGCCCAGAAATAAGCAACTGCATTTGCAGCAGTGAATCGTACGGTTGAAAACGACGGCTGTAAGAAGATATTATAATTTATATTTTGTCTTTTGTTTTCCATTCGTCATACATATTATGTAAACGACGTGTTATCCGATATGCATTATCCGTAGCAAATTTATTGCTGATTCAGCAATGGTTAATTATCACATTACCTTGCGGTTGGTTTTAACTTTGCGTTTAAATTCTTCGATAAATTTTGGATCATCGTTGGCATCTACCACGTACGATGGAATTTTAAAAATGTCCCAAAACCATCCGAGTCCTAGATAACCACCGAAAGTGCTTATATATAAAAAGGCATGATCGTCTCTGTCTAAATAAATATGATGAGCTCCGATGAAACCGCCGAAAAGCCAAAAAACGTATGCCCAAAACTTCGACTTCCGTCCTTGAATTCTTTTATCCTGAGTCTTCGAGTTGTCCATCATTTTCGTTTATATTTTTTTCTTTTTCTTTTTCTTAAGTGTGCCAGTTTATTTTCAATTATTTATAGAATTTGTTAATTAATCGAGTAAAAATGTTATCCTTGCGTTATCTTCATTTTTATTATTTACATTTTATTTGTATCGAATAATAGAGTCGTTTCTTGTAGGACACTTCTTTCGAATTTCTTTGATGTATAATACAATATATTCTTATTTTTTATTTAAATTTATCGACACTATTTATGTATTTTCACTCATACAAAAACTCGTATTGTTGCCTTATTTGTAAAGGATTTGAAGAACGTAAACGCACCAATATACCGCTTCGAACGACTAAGAAACGTCTTCCCCTTCGTACTATCCTATGACACGTACGTGGTTCAACGCACCAGCAGGTATAACGGCACTTCTTTCAGGACCGTACCAACAAGAGGACAACTCGTTTTTCTTATTAATTTTAACTTTAAAGAATATGTGTGTAAGGATTTACATTGTGAGGATTTCATTAAGTAATTTTTATAATAACGTTTAATCATATTCGTAAACATGTATAGTTTATTTCATTTTTTTTACATTAGTTTATCATTTTTTAAATAATATTAAACAAGTTTCTTCAAAATTACAGACAATGTTTATTTAAAAATTAGAAGAGAAGTTTGGATTACAATAATTCCTAGTTGATCTAATTAATAATAAGAAAGATTAAAAAATTGATACATATGTATAATCTCATGAACTTAAATTATATTATTACTGTTATTATATTAGTACAAATATTTTGTTAAATATGCATAATATACAGTTTTTTTTTATTTCAAGCAATGTAGTATAATTTCAAAGATAAAGATGGATTTATAAATTTAAAAAAAAATCGATTATTCTGTCATCTAGCAAAAAATACGATAAACGTTTGCAATGTTCTGTTTTACCGATATATCTCGGATACATTTAAAATCAGTTGAAAATTTAATCATCAGATGGAGCACTTTGTGCATTTAATTTCTAAGAACTTAACAATTCTATTTCAATAAAAAAAAACATAAGAAATACATCAGTTCTGTGCCTTTCGTTCGTTTTATATTTTTACAGAAAAGAGAAGATAGAAGGAAGAAAGGGAGAAATAGAAATAGAAAGAGAATGGAAACAAGTTTTGTCCTAAGGAATTCACAAAGCAAACGCTCATTTTTAGTTTAGTTCGTAAACAAGATAGCGTCGGGTTGCATTGGTTGCACGTGGTTTCTGTCATTTAAAAACATGAGAACAGATTGAAAAACGAAACAAAGTTTTGTGCTAAAACAGTAAGATGCTTACTGATGGAGGTTCGTTCATCAGTTTCGTGTAGTCACAAAGAATGGAGACGTATTGCAAAGAGAGAACGACGCAGACGATTGCGTCAAAAAGCTGCGAAGGAACGCGATGCAGACGAATTACAATTGAGGGCAGCACTGGAGAAAAGCGCGGATTATTTGAATTGGTGCAAAGAACAGGAACAATGCGAAAAAGAGAAAGAAGAATTAGAAAAACAAGAACACGAGGAAAGAGAAAAATTATGGCTCGAGGAAGAGGTAATCTATATTGTTATCGTCATTTTAAAACAAATTATTCATTATTTTAACTACATTAATATAATTTTCAGGTAAAAGCGCATAAGGAATGGCTTATCGTTCAGGAACGTAAAGCAAAAGCTAGACAACAGCAATTGATACAAGAAGAACAAATTCGAAAAGAGTTTGAAGCTAAACAAGCAATTATAAAAAAGAAAGAAGAAGAAGAAAAACTTAAACGAGAAGAGGAGATAAAACGAAGAGAATTATTACAACAGCAAATTGATGATTATATAGATGAAGGAATAAAAACGCCAGAGATTCTTAGAGAAATTATTGATAGTCAACCTGGCAAAGAACTATGTCCTTTCTTTTCTAAAACGGGTGCTTGCAGGTAGGTCGTATAATTAAAAAAATTTAAAGAATGAATAATTAATAAATTTGTATTTTGTAGATATGGAGATACGTGTTCCAGAAATCATCGTCGAGTTTGTTTAAGTAAAGTCCTTTTAATACCAAATTTTTATTCACATTTCTCTCTGGAAAAGAACTCTATGGAATATGATACGGACATTGGATTAGAATTTGAGAGTTCTGAGACCAGACAACACTTTCGTGAATTTTATTACGACATTGTACCGGAATTAGAATCTTACGGAAGAATTAAAACGCTCAGAATATGTTGCAATACCGAGATTCATTTGCGCGGTAATTTGTACGTTGAATATTACACCGAACGAGAAGCTGCTAGAGCTCTGAGAAAACTAAAGGGTCGTTGGTATGCTGGCAGACAATTGAACTGCGAGTTTGCCAATTTTAAGTCTTGGAGAAGTGCAGTCTGTGGTATGATAAAATGTCCTAAGGGTAGAGCTTGTAATTTTCTACACACTTTTCAAAATCCTCACACTGAATACGACATCAAAAGTCCACCACGTTATTCAAAAACAGCTAATTCGGAAAGTAACAGCAAAAGGAGCGAACAAAGGTAAATCTATCTCGGTTTTTTTTTGTTTTTATTGAATATAAATTTTCATAACTAGACCGAAAAGTAACATTCGTTTTTATTTGGATTGCATACCTTTCCAGGAACAAATCTACATGGGAAGAGAACGTATCTGAAGAAACCAATGAAAGTAAACATTGGAGGTGGTCGGAATCACCTGAGATAGAGACGCCGAATAAACGTTCGAGGAACAATGAAAAACAGCGAAGACACTCGAACGAAAGAAACGGTCATCGTTCTTCTAGACGCGATAAAGAAGATCGAAGTTCCAAAAGTTCCAGGAAGTCTAGAAAATCGTCGACGGAGAGGCAACATCATCATTCAAGTTCAATCCGATCTGGAAGATGTTACGAGAAGAAACGTGAAAGTGAACATTATTATAAGAACGATAAAAGATCTTCTAAAAGGAAGCACGATAATAACGATCGAAGTAGTGAAAGATCAGAAAAGACTTCTCGAAAAAGTAGTAAATATTTGAATGAAGAATTTAGCAAATATAAGTCGAGAAGATTGAAAGAATGCGATGATTATAATCTCTCAGACATAAAGATCAAGACCGAGACTGAGACCGAGGCCGAGAACAAGATTGATAGGCTTCAATCAGAAAATAAAGAAAGTAATATTAAAAAACAGAAAAAGAAACATACATCAAAGTGGGATAACAGAAATTTTGATGAAAAGGAAGATGTAAGCTCGAGTGACTCTGATTGTTCGTCCGATAGTAGTGAATTGCGTAGGACTATTGATAAACGAGATCCTGACGGTTGGACGACAACCGATTCTGATAATGAAGAAGATAAGTGCGTAATATTTAATAGGAGTTAATATATTACAGTAAAAACTTCTTTTGGGGGAGTACTGAACGTTTTCAAGTGAGACAAAAAGTGAAGATTTATAAAGGAGTCTGTTGTGTTTGAATGATTAGGGAAAAACGGGGCTAGTTATCAATCTAGCAAAACTTGTGGGGAGATATGAGAAAGTGACACACTGTCATAAACAATTTTAAAGCGTGACACAGGAAGTATAACAATAACATTGATAAGAATGACTAAAGAATTGTTTTACCAGCACAATAATAGAAAATAAGAGAATAAAATAAACAGAAAATAAAACCAAATTAAGCAGAAAAATTTATTACATGCTTTTTTTTATGATAGATGTCTATTTCTGAAATCATTTTCATGGACTATCGTGAATGTATATTAAATACACTTAATAAATAATTATTTTATATATTATTTTTCCTGGTGTACTTTTTCTAAACGTACCTCAAGTAAAATATATTTTATTTTACTATCAGGTATAAATGAAAAACATTTATATGTTCGATATATTTTAGATTTTTATAATTAGGAATAAAAACGATGTTTATTGTTATATTTATTATAGTTAATTTTATCCAAAATTTGATATACATTTAACAATTATTTTTTAATATTATAATATTAATCGAATAATCTATATATAAACACATATAAATATTTATTAGCTATCTATATATTAAGAAATAAATAAATCAAAATCTATCTTTAGAAATACGAAACGTACATCAATAAAAAAGTAACCTTCAATACATTCAATTTATTTCTAGAAGTTTATTTTAAAACATGCGTATTCACATTTTATTTTTATGGGTAATAATAATCAATACGATTAACTGTATGAAGAAAAAGAGGTAGACGAAAGAGAAGATCAAAGGTAAACGAATAAGCTATATTTATATTACTCGGCGAATTCCAGGAAATTCGTCATTTATGAAGTACAATGTAGAAAAACATTCTCATGCGATCAGCTAAGGTGATTAAGAGGGGAGAGATCATTCAAACATACGCCAAATATTATTTTGATTTTGAAAAACATAAAGACAGGTCATACACGTGTTCGCTCTCGTGTATAAGAATTTATTTTTGCGTGATTAAATAATATTTTATTTCCGAATTTATTATCTCATTAAATCACATTTGATTTATAGATTTATCCAGCCATAATTGATGGTATTAATGTCTTCAAATAAGAAAGAAGATTTATAATCAGAATTAAAGAATCTTACATTTTTCTATGATTTTAAAAAGAGTTTTAAAAGTATCATTTTTTTACGGTATTAAAATTTTTCTTTTGCTAGATGATACAAGTTCTATATATATAAAATAATACAATATTAAATAAAGATAAAGTGTTATAAAGCAATTCAATGTAGGAACTCGACAATTCAATTTGTCTCTTTGTCAATTATGTTTATTTTATCGATACAAAATTGTATTTTTCATTCGCAAGATTAATCTTATTATCTTCGTAAAGAAAAATTTATGAAATCACCATTTGTTCGATTAAATCGTGATAATCTTTTACGTTATATAACATTTTTTCGGTCGAATGGTGACATACATAGAAATACTTTTTAATTTGTTATCGATTGTTAATGTATATGAATTGTCACAGATATCCTATCGAACCTTATCATTAAATGATGATTCAAAATAAAAGAAGTAGAACGTATAACAATTGTAGAACTCAGAAGTGAACATATCATTTGAAAATGTACGTCTTAATAATTCTATTCTTTTGTACAAATTCCTTGGTCAATGGTTTTGGCCTCCATGGGTTTACATTCAAGGGTTTAGAAGAGCCAACATTATTGGATAAAGTTGCTAAAAATGTACACGAGAAATGGTTAAATCAACCACTGGATCATTTTAATCCTCGGAATAATATAATTTGGCAAATGGTAAGAATTTCTTTTATTTTCTAATATAAAATTAATTTAATTTAAAAAAAATACAATATTATCAACCCAGCGTTATTACGAAAATAAAGCCTTTTATCAAGAAAATGGACCGATATTGATCATGCTTGGTGGAGAATGGGAAATAAAACCTAATTTCTTAACAAATGGACTGATGTTTGACATTAGTGTTGCTCTTGAAGGTATAATGTATTATACCGAACATCGATATTATGGACAAAGTAAACCCACAAAGTACGACGATAACTTCTAAAATACTGAAGTAACAAAACAAGTTTTTAAATATTTTTATCATAATTTTTAGGGATGTCAGTGAAGAAAATTTGCAATATTTGAACGTCGATCAAGCATTGGCTGACATAGCTTATTTTATTGAAAAAGTGAAGAGAGATCTTGGTAATGAAAATGCAACGGTGATTGTTTTCGGTGGATCCTACGCTGGTAATATGGCAACATGGGCTAGATTAAAATATCCTCACCTTATTCAGGTACAATTCTTTCTTTATTTCGCAATGTTAACGCGTTTCATATAAAATTAACATTTGTTTTTTAAATCTTGACAGGGTGCTGTGGCTAGCAGTGCACCGGTCCACGCAAAAATGGAGTTTTATGGTAAGAATCTTTTTCCAATCAAATTTTTCTTTTATTAAGTGATGATGTATTGTTAGTTCGATTAATTATTTTATTTTGTTAATAGAATATTACGAAATTGTGGAAAGGTCTCTTCGAAGATATGACGAACAATGTGCAGTCGATATTAAAGCTGCATTTGATTCTGTAGAGACATTGTTGAAAGAAGATGGTGGTCCTGAGAAATTGAAGACATATTTTAAGTACGTACATTAATTCATAATCAAATTAATTAGAAAAAGAATTAATAATTATAATATTGTAGTTTATGCAAAGTACCGAACGTGAAATCTTCCTATGATGTTGGTCATCTTATAAATACTTTAACAGAGGTAAGAAATTATGATAATTAAAGACACAATTACGTTTCATCAACAGCAATGAAAATTATTATCATCGAAAATAATATTATTTGTAATAGAAATTTGCTAGTATTGTCCAATATAATAAAGTTCGGACGGATAGTAAATCGAGTATTGGTGTTTGTTGTGACAACATGATAGCCACACATTTAGGATCACCACTTCAAAGATTGGCTAGATTAATGAGTAAAAATGACGATAAATGTTTAGATGCTAGTTACGAACAATTCATATCACATTACAGGAATGTAAGCTGGGATTTAAATAGTATATGTAAGTTCAATTCGAAATATTGTATGAATTCTAAATTCATCTAATTTTTATTTTGTAATATTACTTAATTAATTGCATATTTCAGTAAGATCGTGGTATTTTCAAACGTGTACTGAGTATGGTTATTATTCGACAACTAATTACGAAAATTCCATTTTCGGATCTCTCCTACCTTTGGATTACTTCTTAAATATTTGCACTAACTTATACGGAAATTAGTAAAATTATTTTGTTATTTATTATTTGATAATATATAATTATTCAATAATTTAATATCCATTAAATTTTGCAGTTACAATGGTACTTATTTGAAAAAGAGAGTAATGCGAACGAATTTAATTTACGGTGGTTATAAACCGGATATAAGTAATGTCATTTTTACAAATGGCGATGTTGATCCTTGGCATACGCTTTCCGTTTTAGAAGACTTGAACGAGTCTACACCAACTATTATTATGAAAGGTATATATACAGAAGAATTTGTATTGCGTACACATAATGTATTGATTGGTTTATTTGTTGTTTACAGGTATATCTCATTGTCAAGATTTTTTGGAGGATTTTTCTACGGATCCGTTAGAGCTTACCAAGGCAAGACAAATGATACGTCAAATTGTTACCAAGTGGATAACGATGTATTAATTTAATAGATAATTGAATGATACTTTATTTTTAAGAAAAAAACTTCAAAAGTCCTTTTTACACCAACACATTTTATTTATAATTGTTTACAAAAACGAAAAACTTATTTACAAAGGATAATATATATAGATACTTATGATTACATATATGTATACGTTACATTGTAGCTAATAGAAATAGAAAAACCTTTATATTTTTTTAATTCGCCTATAGTGCGTATTTTATATAATAGCCTAATTGTGTGTAAGTTTTTTGAATCGCCATTTCATAGACACATACCGTTCCTATGAAAAATGTTTGGCAATCGAAATATTATATCTAGAAGTGGCTCGAATTATTATTTCTGACCGTTAGTCAACATCCATAAGCCCCAAATAAAAAATCAACCTATCTCATTTATTAATAAAAAAAGAGCTATTTAAAGAATTTCAATCGACTTCGAGTTTCCTGAAGGAACCACTAATGCCACACATCATGCTATCACTGGAACCAACGCTTGAACAACCAAATCCTTGTTTCAAAGCAGATACGGCACCCTCTCGAGCTTTTTCAGAATATTGTTCAAGGCATACCTTCATTTTATCGTGACTTAACAATGTCGGTCTTAATTCTAATAATTCTTGTCGCCAGAGATCTAGAAATAAAAAATATTATCGAAGATATTTAAACAGGAATTCATTTGAATTTCTCGTCAAATATTTCAATTCTTCTTACCAATCATTTCTTTCATAGGCATGGTACCACCATACTCTTTAGGTAACATACTAGCATCCATCTTGTTATTTAATGCATCCTCCAGGCTGGTGTAAATCTTAACACGACTTTTTATTTTCTCGGAGATCAAGGACATTCCAAAATCAAGAGCGAACTTTAAAGATGGGTGGGCATTGATAGCGTGAACTTCTTTGTGTCTCATAGGAACTGTACGCTGAAAACAAAGAAATATTTTTCAGGTAGACGATCAAAATATTTCTTCTTGAAAACATTTCAGATAAACCGTTGTATACTTTTTTTATTACAGACAATAAAGACCTTCAAGGCGATTAGTAATAAAAACTTGAAAGCGATAAAAAGAGAAACTGGTTTTGGATTTTAAAATTTAAATTTGAATTTAATTATACGAAATGAAAAGACGATTTCTCTTACTTCTCCATTTTTAACAATACGAACAGCTTCTTTGGGTGTAAATAAAGTAAGATGAGGAAAACTGACTCCAGCACCATCAGCGAAATGAACAAATCCGCGAATTTGACTCTCCTCGTCTTCCATCAAAGCTTCGTAGGTAATAGCGTGTATCTTACACATATCTGCGTTGGTATATTTATGTGGATCAAAAACACCTATAATGAATTGATAATTTAAAAAGTCATAATATTGTGCTAGATTAACAAAAGTTTATTAATTAAAATCACAAAATTTATGTGCGTATGTTTGAAAACTACCTGGTCTAGCAATAATAACACGACGACCTTTATGATCGCGACCTGGTGCAGCGAATAGATATCTGTAATTAATGAAAATGATAAAACATATTCGAAATGATTAAAAATGTAGGAAGATTTCTAAAAGATCCTTGAGATATTCCAAGATGGCAAGACTTTATTCCTCTTCGTTGTTGATCTTACCCCAATGAAAGTAATTCCTCCATAGTTGGTTCCATTACATCCAAATGAGTAAATGCAGGATGATAAACTTGACGTAAAAGAAGATATCGTTCGGTTGTTTCTTGAGCCATCGGTACATTAAACTTCTTACATCGTAAAAATCTCAATAAAAATCGTGCATCTAATGATAGATAAATATATTAAGACGAGTGTGGAAATAAAAGATAGATTATTAGTTTAAAAAAAGTATTCTAGATATTTTTTTAAAGATCTGTTAAAAGTAAATTAATTTAAAATAAACTTCTCACCGAGTCGGCAATTTTTAATACGCGAATTTAATTTTATCCAACTACGCATTTGCTCCAGTGCTTGATCACGCGTATTCTTATCCTCCCTGAGTTCATCCTTTGCAATTTTTTGAGTTTCTTCGGAAAGTTTGCACTCGTACTTGTCCTCTTCGGTTACCCATTCTATCGCACCACTGTCCATTTTATTTTCTGTCTTCGTTGTTTTGTATTCGATGTACAATGATCCTTAAGATCCTACAAATTGATCGTAATGTAAGCATCGTAAGAATTTGTAACACTTATCAGAAGAATGGATGACGTGATGAGTTTACGCTTCGTCATTCAAGTTAAGAGCAATTTCTCTTTCGTTCACTTTAATTTCACTTTCGTTACAAACGTGTCTGACCTGGTTGCCTAGATTCTACTCATGCACGAAACGAATACACGTTTAAGAAGACACACGTGAGAGAAAAAAAATATAAAATATTTTATTTATTAAAAATGATCAAAGAACAATTCTATTAATTAAAATAAAATTTTAATATCATTTAAAAAATGATTAATTTAAATTGATTTCAAAATCAATTTATGAATGAATGCACTTATGAGAAGAATATATGCATATAATCAATATTAATGTGCGAATATTTTATTATATAAAAAGTGTATTACACTTTTTAATAAAATAATATGTAATAATACTAGAAACGCTTGAACGATTAAATAATATAAACGTTTTATCTTCGTGCGTATATCCTGAAATGTTGCGTACGGTGATTACGTGTTGCAATAACTTTCTCCGATTACGTAACTTACCGAAGAGTTTAAAACACCTTTGTTCCTTAGTATTAGACGTAACATGAGCAACAGATGTAAGAACCGAATGACATGATAAAAAAAATCTCAAAGTGAAAAGAATTGAGGTCGGTGTTCTAAATCGATATATAATTATCTTTCTAATCGAATGAAATTAAAGTAAACTATGATATTTATTTTAAAAACTGCATACTAATATTTATTATAATTTTCAAGAGATTTGTTTCAATCTAATATACAAAATTGATCCATTTTGAAAAAAATATATGATTGTTCATCCAAGTTCATCTATTAGTTTACGAAAGTGTTCGTAACATGCAAACTATATGAAAATGATGATATTATAGTATGTACAATATATACATCCTGTATATTAAAATGGCGGTCTGATAATGATAGCATTTCTCATTGAAATTTCACAAAGGCAAATGGCCTATCTTAGACGCGAAGCCATAACTAATATCGATCTCTTCCGTATAGAAAGTGGAGGTTATCGGCTAGCTGACTTTTAAGATTACCTTTAGAGAGTCAATACGCTGTTACGTATGATCTTAGTAAAAGCCACCTTTTCTTCGTAATGCATTACGACTATTACGTATACGTACGATTCTATTAAATTCATTCTCTACCATGGATAACGAGACCCATGGTTGTTAAATTATAATGATACCATAGAATCATATAATAGTTACACGTAATACATACAATTAGTAAAATTTCTTTTAGTGCAACAACTATTACAGGAGTTATGTCATGGTTGTTTTAAATTAACCGCGAAAAGAAACTTAAGAATTTATTCTTTCTCTTCTGTTGGTTTTAATTCACATTTTGAAGTATTTTTATTGTTTTTTTTTTCCAAATGAAATATAAAAACTAATTTTCTGTATTTTTGATTTCTTTTTAAAGGGTAGCTACAACTAAACACTTAAGTCTACTTTTCTTCTAGATATTTCTGTAAAAGAACGATTGGAATTTTTTGTTAATAAAAACAAACACGAGTATCTAAAATTGGTTAGACATTTTTGTTTTTTAATCGTTAACCGAAACCTGTTTATTCAGTATAAACAAAAAATGCTCGTTGAACTCGCGTTTTCTTGACTTACTTTCCCTCAACATCTACTTTCAATGATAACCGTTTTTCTTAACAGTAAATCATCGAAAAGAAATTTATAATATAAAAGAACACTTATGTCATTGTATAGAATCAAATAAATACTTTCTTACGTTGTATTATCTTTTAGGAAAACAAAATGGTTTCTCAAAAGTTCAGATTATTATTAATCATAAATTCAAATTAAAAATATTCGTATTTTAAAATTAATTTCCATTAAAATTTTGATCAAATATTATGGAGGGCTATAAGAATAAAATTATATAATATTTTTTAAAGTTCAAACATCCCATTTTTTAATTCTGTTAATAACTTCATATTTCTACTTCGGAAATTGATTAAAATCTACTAAAAAATGATCATGTGCTACATTTCTTTTTGACTTTGAAGTAGTAGTCCTTCAAATTCAAGGACGTTTATTAATGAAGTCAATGTAGCATATATATATATTGAGTATTTGAGATTCATCTAACGTCGATCGGTATCGTATATTGATTTAACATTTCGTGACTAGTATTAAGAATTCAATTAGAATGAATCAGCTATATTTAATTCAATCTTTTACAAGAACTGCGATCGTTTAATATAATTCTTTATAAAATGATTAAATTACAATTATTATTAAAAAAAACAAATCATAATTTAAAAAAATTGAAATGTTAAATGATTAAAAAACAAATAACAATTTTGAAATTGTATTTTTTCCTTTGTTTGTTCTTGTCGTAAAAATGTTATGCGAAATCGATAAAAATATAATAAAAAATATGATTTTTGAAATAAATAAAAAGTAATAGTCTGCAATGTCCACACATGTTGATGAGGAAAATATTCTAAATATTCTAAACATATAAGGGAAGAAAAATAAAAACATACCTAGAAAGAAGCCAGTCTACGTGCTCGATGGCCACTGTTCCCCTCTGCTTGTACGATCGCTCTTTTATAATTTTCAGAGACACCTTTCTTCCTCCACCAGCTTAGGAACCTTGCGTCCCGCGAATGAGTAAATTTCTTCAAAGTAAATGAAAGGGAGAGAGAAAGAAAGAAAAAAAAGAAATAACGAAAGAATATGCTTGACCAGTTTCAAGAATATGCTTGGCGATCTATTGTGGCCTTCTAATTTACTCGTGACAAAGAAAATAAACTAAAATTTAAGGATTAGCATTTTTTATATAGTGGTCTGGTCGATTTAACACTCGATTTATGAAACATTTCGCAACTTATTCTGGTTGTTCCTATGTCTTTTTTATTTTTTTAACTAATAAAAATGATACGCTACTAATGCTTACTCTTCTTACGAGTATATGTAATAATTCGTGATACGAAAGAAAAAAAAACATAGACTCAAAAATATTGTTAGAGCAAAGAAAAGATGAGAATAACAATCGTAATTTTATTGTTTGATATTTACGTCACGTACAATAGACAAAATATTTCATGGAATATTACACACATTAAAATGGATTTTCTGGCAAAGGCGACATAATCAACCCAAGTTGCAGCTCATTATGTAATGTGAAACACGTAACAAGTAAGTATTACGACTTTTCTATTAGTTCCAATATATCTAATGATATTATCTATTGGAATTTACAGTAGAATGTGTTTGAAAAAAAATCAAATTCAAAATAACCGGAAGTTATACATTCCCACCCAGATATGATTATGCGGAACGCGCGCTTTTTACAAAATTCTATTAAACGTTGATTATTAAACATTTTGTTTAATTTAATATTATTATTAATCATATTTAGTGCATTAAATTGTCAATATTTTGAAACGGAACTTCCAATGGAAGACATACATTACTATGTTTTCTTTTGCAATAATATTATACAATTAATTTCAATTAACGAATTAAATAGCACGATGAAAGTGTAAGAGTAATTGTACGTGCACGATATTGTATTATTTTTTTCTCAAATTGTAAAACGCAATCTCGTGGAGAAACATAGTCTGAGTGAAATGCGAGTAATGACTATAAGAAAGTTTTATAAGAAGGAAGAGAAGGGAAAGATGTATTACGTGCGCAATAGGGCTTTAACCGACATCGAGCTCGATTGCGTATGTGTATTTTTAATGATATATATATATAAATATTGTATACATACAATTGTTTGTTCAAATAGCCATAACTTTGAAAAACAAAATATTTGAAGGTAAATTCTATAAGAATTCTATAATATATATTGTATAAGGAAAGGTGAGGCATTTTGTTATTCTTTCTTTTCCATTTATAATTAGTAATATTTTCATTTTTTATTATAATTAGCAAGTATAAAATACAATGTTTAAATGCACAGTTTCGTAAAACATTCTTTTAACATAAAAATAAATGCTAGACTTTTTGGCACTGCATTTGTTATCATGTTTATCTCTTATAATGAATTTGTTTGTTATAAGAAGAACCAGTCGAGACTTAGTATGAAAAACTACGTAAAAAAGGAACTTAATAGCTTCTAAATATAACAACATAATAATAATTTGGTAGAGGATAATAACGAAATATCACATTACATTTTATCTTTTAATCAGTCTTTTTCTTTAACTGCTCAAAAGATAATCTTGTATATAATTAATATACTATAAGTTTATAGATTGTTCAAATATTATTATCTGCCAATAACTTGAACTTTTGTATAAGCGCCTTTACAACCGCTATTAGATACCAATAGACTTTTCTTTACTTCCAGTATTTGATCTTCTCTAAGTTTTAGATGACTATCTTCCATCGCTTGTACTATGCATTTTTCTAAAACTTCTTCATTTAAAAGATTATATCCAAATATTCTTACATCATAGTGTACTTTAGAAAATGCAGCAGTAATATTTTTAATATTTGCTTCTAATTGGATAGTACGTTTTAAATTGCGATCCACTTTCTCCACATTAATCACCGCTAGTAGAGTAATACAAGTATTTGGAAGTTTTAATATGTTACTTGAAAGTTTTAAAGCATCCAAAATATCGTTTTCTCTTAAATTTTCTAAAATTATTAAATTACAAGAATAGGATGGGATCTCGTTTATGTCGACCATACTTAAAGGTGGAATATATTGTATAATTTTATTATGATTCGGAAAATTTCTTCTTATGATATCAATAGTATAAGATTTTCCAACTCCAGTACTTCCTACAAGTACTGCGAACTTTTTACAGGAATCATCTATTTCTAGAAATTCAATTAAAGATGATATAACTTCATTTTGACCATAAATTTTTTTTCGTAATTCAATACTAGCGTTGGAAAAATGTGACCCGTGATCGCAAACTAATATTACTTTTTCTTTACTATCTTCTTCCGAAATTAACAAAACAGCCATTAAAAATACAATTATTGGTACTAATATAAAAAATGTAACTTTATAGAAAAAGTGCACAGAATTCTTATCTTTCATCGAAATAGACGATACAAGAGGGCGAACTTTTTTCTTTAATTCTTCGTATGATTTTTTCTCAGAGCTCTCATTTGAGTTTTCTATTTTTTCAGTCTTAGTTTCCAGTGGTTCTACTTGTACAGGATTAATCAAATTGGCAGTATCATTGATTTCATTATTATGCTCCGACATATCCATTTTTTCTACTTCCATGTACTCTATTTGTTCCTGTTGCTGAGTGTTTATTTTAGGTACATTAACCTCAGGTCCAATTGAATTCCAATTTATATATTCTGGTTTATTATTGATACATGGAATGGTATTTTTCCAAGTATTTTTATGTTCATTTTTATGTTCATTTTTATCTGAGGATAATCTTTCGCATATTTTTAATTGCCTGTAAATAAAACATAAATGCATATAAACATTATTCAAACAACAATTTTTATAAATGCTTTTTACCTGACACAGTTGGTCCCATCCACTATCTGCTCGCAACTGTATTGTCTCACTAAACTAGGTGATCCCAGAGTTTGATAGTATTCTTCAATTAATATTTTCTTACTTGTAGATGGTAGATCAGAGAAACTAGCTGTTCTTGTCAATTTATTCTCAGTTTCATCGTCTAAAATTTTTAAGGCTGCAAAGTGCTTTTCCATTACATCAAGTAAATCTTCAAAAGTTTCCTACAAAAACAAATCACAAATCCTTAACCTTTAAATCGTTTACTAGCCTTTTATTACATTCTTACTTCACTCATTTGGATCCTTAAACATTGGAGTATTTACTTTGGGAAAATACTTAGCAACATACTTTTACCTGTTCTTTTTCTTTGGCAATAAAAACGCACTGTTTTATAAATAAACGAAACAATAGAAAAATTTTGGCATGTGTAATGGCACATTACAGAATTCAACGACCGTTGATAAAAATTTATCGAAAAAAAAAAACAGAAAAAAATGAGAGTTTAAAAAGCGCGCATGCGCAATTGAATTTCCGCGTTCCGCTCATTCTAATTGTCCAATTCCGATAGTTTCCCACGTTCCAAAGTCAGAGAGCAGTCTTTCGCGTATTCTTAAGCGCGTGTACTGAGTTGTTCGGATTAGGTAACGAGTTTTACGTGATGTGACATTTCTATGATCACAAACAATTCAAAAATGTATTTACAAAGTTTCTTCGCTTCGTGCTTCTGGACTTTATTAACAATCTCAGCAGTTACAGCTAGGATACATAAACTTGAAATACGGGTTAGTATCGTGAAAAGGATATCTGGCTTTTAATGGTTTCTTTTTCCATCCTTTCTCTTTTTCTCCCCTCACTTCTCTCTCTCTCTCTCTATCTATCTTTTTCACTAATTCTTTCTTCTTACGATTGATATAATATAAATTAGTTGAAATAATCATACATTACCGTAATGATAGTGCAATATCATGGATGAATAGGCGTGTTACATCGATATCTATCTCTTCTATATATATATATATATCTTATATACATATGCGTATAATATGTGGTACACAGTAACGTGACATACGTAATACATATATGGAAGCATCTATAGCATCAATTCATTTACGCAATCAACAATAAATCACGAACATTTTGCAGCTATATGTAAAAAATATTTCCAATAAAATAAGTTGTATTCTACTTATATATATATATAACATTGACAGCAAGTTAAATGTCCTATGAAATGTATGCGTGTGTATGTGTACTGTTTGTCAAGATGAATATGTAAAAGCATTGATTATCACATATTTTTGTTTCTTTTCTCTTTGCAGAAAGATACTAGGCGATATATTTCTCTCAGTACCTTTGGTTTTTATAAGTATGGTATTCTAAACGTCAGTCTTACAAATTTCAATGCCGATCCTTTTGATAAAAATGCAGTGGTAAGTTTTACATAACGCCATTATTTAGTAAAGAAGCATAGCCACCTGTTTGTCTTCTTCTGTCATCCTAATTTGTCAACTTATTGTCTCAAGAAATATAAATGTATAGTTTTTCAGTAATATCCATAGTTTGGATAGTATAAAATTAACAGTGATATGTTTTCTTTCATATTTGTGAGCATTGCTAATGCATATACTCTGTGATATATATCTATGTATTAATGTTTAAGCAAAACTTTCTTTATTCGGACTTCAGTTTGGATTCAGTTTAGACCGGACACTCAGCGATGCAGTGAATTCTTATTTAGATAGTCATCAAGAAAGATGCGTGCTTCAAAACCTATCCAATCCCAAAACAGAGTTAGAGAAGAAGGATGACAGTGCTGTCATATACTTTATAATGGACTTAAATAATTTGTCGTAAGTACAAGTATTACATCTATAACAGAAGAACTTTATTGACAAGTATTTTCTTTTTTTCAGTTTGAAGATAAATTGCAGTCGTAATATACAGTCTGTTCTTATATACAAAGATTCCAGTTTAATGTCAAATTTCAGAATGAAAAGAAATTCATTGCCAACAAAATTTAGTGATACGGCTCTATTTCCTAGAAGGAAACGTAACACATCTATACACGGTAAGTGACCAATTTGTTCAAACATTAAATTAAACTTGTAGTTTTCTATTTTTCTATTATATGACGCATACACTATCATTGCTAATGTTAGAATTACAGTTTTACTACATTCATTACCAACAGATGGTGATCAGTGATTTGGCTAGCTCTTCATAATTGCAATATCCGTCTTACCTCAGACGGTTGATTATTAATATTCTGTACATTAGATAAAGTGCCAAATTTCAAGGAAACGTATTACTTTGAATATTTTAAACAGCGTGAAAAAACTTTAATTATTTATTTATTTAAAACATTTTTAATGTAGATAATACTTATTCTTATTTATTAAAGTATGATATTAATGTACATTTCCTAAATATGAATTTTCTAACTAAAATGATTGACGAGTAAGCACACGTGGACTTGAACCAATGTTGGTGATCGAACGTTTCCTTGATGGCAGTTGCTATAATTAAATCTTGTCCTCAATTTTATAAATAACACGAAAATTAGGTATTTTTGAAAGTTTGATTAGGTAACTATCTTCTTTGAATCAGTATATAGATTTTTATCTTATGTCCATCAGTAATGAAATTTTCTTTATCATTTAAATCGTTTTTTTAACATAATATGTTTTCATATTAAATATATCTCATACGAACATTTGATTGCAGATAACTCGTTAGAAAATCCTGTTAAAAAAGAGAAGCATATTTTCCAACCAGATTTAATAAATACTTGTGATCGTTTAACATCGCTACCGATGACTATGGAAACTATTAAGGGCAAAACATATTATAACACAAGCTTTGCTATGTACGTAGGTGATGAAGAAGAAGAAGGTCTTTACAATCTTTATTTTCATAATTGTCCTAATTATAAGGGTAATACTCAAGTTGCCTTAGATTTTACGGTAAGACATTATATAAGATTATTTTTGAAGAAATAAAATAATACATTTATATTTTATTTATTTACAGATACGAATAGCTGAAATCAATCGTGGAAATTTTCTTAGTGCCGGAGAAATGCCTCTACCAGCTTTGTACTTTATGATGGCTTTCTTATTCCTCTTCTCTGGGTGCTTCTGGGTCTTCATACTTAAGAAGAGCAAGTAAGGTTTCCATTTATAAACCGTGAAACCTATAGAAACTTATGGTTAATATTTATGCAGGCATCCCGTCTTTAAAATTCATTACTTAATGACAGTACTGGTATTTCTGAAGTCTTTATCTTTACTATTCCACGGCATCAATTATCATTTTATACAAACAAAAGGTGAACACGTGGCAGCGTGGGCAATATTGTATTATATCACGCACCTGTTAAAGGGTGCTGTACTATTCATTACTATCGTCCTTGTTGGCACAGGATGGACATTCATTAAACATATTTTAGCGGACAAAGATAAAAAGCTTTTTATGATCGTCATTCCATTGCAGGTAATAAAAGAATTATTACACATTACACAAAAGAATTATTCCATAATACATTATTATGGAATATTATAGAATCAAAGAAAGTCAATGTAATTTGTTATTTGATTATTTAGGTATTAGCAAATGTTGCGGAAATAATAATAGAAGAAGGTGAAGAAGGTGATATAGAGAATCAAACTTGGCGGGACGTTTTTATTCTCGTAGATTTGCTTTGTTGCGGTGCTATTTCATTCCCTATAGTATGGAGTATCAGACATTTACAAGAAGCTGCTCACACGGATGGCAAAGCGGCTGTCAATTTAAGGAAACTTAAACTTTTTCGACATTTTTATATCATGATACTTGGTTATATATATTTTACCAGATTTATAGCGTACTTACTTAAGGTACGTAGCCTTTATTAGTTTCAACTCTTGCTTACAAACATTCGAGAGATTTATTTATTTAACGGTATCAATATAAAATCTTATATTTTGATAAACATAGCAAATCCTTGTTTCTGTTTCGATAGAGTACAGTACCCTTCCAATACGAATGGTTGCACGAAATGTCTCGTGAGATAGCAACGTATGTTTTCTTCATTTTAACGGGCTACAAGTTCCGACCAGCTTCCGCGAATCCTTATTTTACATTAACAACCGATGAAGTTGATCAAGGTGAAGATGACGATGAAATGGACATTGTGTAAGTATTATTTGATTATAATATGAGATCAAATCAAATATATATATATATATTTTTTTTTTTTTCATTCAAACGGTCTTTGCAACGATTAATTTGATATTTTTTCTTAGATTAACTTATCCTATTCTAACGTCACGAACTTAGCCTTTTTTCTAGCGTTAGCGGTGGCAGCGGACTTACCGAGAATCTCAGTAAAGTTAGCAAAGTCTCCAAAGTGGTGAGGCCAACGACCTCGGAGGTTCCATCTACTCAAGAAGAAAGAGACAGTCTTTTTAACAAAAAAGATTCTACTCAGGAATATGACTGAACACAAAAACTATACGTAATAGGTCCATTTTGGGTATGCTCCAAGTGTATAACGTACGTGTATTTTGTGAAATCTCAGTATGCTTTCTTGCGAGTAAGATGAACGTACTTTGCGAGAAATAGAGAGAGAAAGAGAGAGAGTGAGAGAGAGAGAGAAAGAGAAAATGTGTGTATGTGTATGTATGTAAAGCAAGAGATAGTTTGAAAGTAGTTAACTCGAAACTTTCTGTATATTTCCTATTCTATAGGATAATTCGCGCAACTGTAACTCGTATCTGTTTTTTTTTTAATTGAAGCTAGGTAAAAATATTAAAGGATAAAAGATGGATTACATCATATTCATGATCATATTTGCATTAATTCCTGCACGTTTTACAGTTGCACTATCTTTTTAAATGGATACTTTCGTGATTTTTTACATACATCGAATATTCTCGCCATTCTACATAAAAAAAAAGTATCAGGGAAACGTGATCGAAAAATGATTTAGATAGATTACGAGGTATTTAGAAAAAAATTATCTTTTCCTATTAATACTTTTATTTAACTTCAATTAAAAAAAAAAAAAAAGAAAAGATATGAATTGTTACAAATGCGCGAATCATTCTGTATATACGATCGTTTCGTATTCCTTAGAAAGTAAAAAACAATAAGAGCAATGCGCCGCGCGCTGCAGTGGTAGTTTAAAAAGCAATCGTACAACTTTGTATTATTATTATTACTATTAATATTATCATTATCATCATCTTCATCATCATTCTGTACTTAACGACGAAATATTCGATTATTGTAAAGTTCGATCGAAGCATGCATTATTATCGTACGGAGATCGTAACTTATAATAAGTATATGTATAATGTACTTTATATTTTATACGTCGAAATATTCTGCATCGCGTAGTACTACGTCCCGTTCTTCTCTTTCCTCCTGTTTTACGAGATTTTACATGCATAGTTTGGCATTCGTTAAGTTTCGGCAAAGATTATTACGACCAAATTTATAAAAGGACTCTTCATATTGTGATACTATTATGTCCATTAATTGATGATGATTTTTCACCGCTTCTTGTCTTTATTTTTTTTTCTAGGATTTTGTAAATAATAACGGAAAAGGAGATTAATTCATGAAACCAGCAAGGATTAGAGTTTATTATTCACAGTTTCACAATTTTATAATAGAATTTTGTGAAACTTTCTCTAAGCATTTAGACAATTATTTCGATTAATTTTTTTTCGCGACACGCTTAAAAATTTTTTAAACACTCCTGCAGAAAGCTTAGGTATGTTGTGATAGGCGATCCACGCCCGTGTTCTTATTCGTCATTTATCTATCGCAATTCAATTTTTTTTCTATTCGCACTTTGTAATTCTTCTAGTTAGAAAAAATAATTGTTATGAATATTGAGAAATAATTGGAAACTTGAAATATTTCCTGTCGACGAATTTATTATAATACGTTATTGCGAATAATATTACTATTATTATACTATTATTATTTATGCAATATATGTATCGTATATTAGTTTGGACATTTGTTATAGCTAATACACTATGTTAACATGTATTAAGCAGAAAATGACAGAAAACATATTGAAAAAATAAAACGGATATTTTTATGAAATTCTAACAGTCACATATTATATCAAATAAGCATTCTATATTTCGGAAACGATTCGTATCATTTAATTATGCTATTAGTATTTTTCATTGGCCGGATAAAAGTACCAGACTAGATTATCATCGTCCTAACCAGTAATAGAAAATAGGTACGTATATACTTGCATACTTATGTAACATACAACCAAATAATTTTAACTGATATTGTCCTACGAGGTAACATAGGACAAATTGTTGCAGAGTTCAGTTTCCTGACCACGTAAAAAAATTTAGAAGTGCAACGATAACATAGTTTTAGAAAAGAGATACGCAACGTTGTTGTCGGTAGCTTGTTCGTTTTTTATGTTTACCGTAAAGCTTAGCACTTTTATGCCACGCGTAAATGAAGCTAAACAAATGTTAAAACAACCCTTGCTTATTTTATTTTTTTTTATAATTAACTGCTTTAAAAATATATTTTATTTTTTTTAAATCTTATGATTCCGCTGAAATTGTTAATGAATTTGAATGTTTCCCATGACGGTAATTTTAGCTGGCTGATTATATCGACCCTTACCACTTACATTAGGAAGAATTATTGTTGATCCAACTACTTACTATTGTTTGCCTATATCAATAATATTTATTACTTGTTAATGGGTCAGTTTTAATGTTTTATTTGATATATATATACGGTAATATAATTGATTTCATAGAACTTGTCAACATATAAAGAAAAAATATTTGATCGTTTTCATAAAAATAACTAAAGAGCTTCATCCATTTAAAGGAAAGACACATGTGGAGTCTTAATGAAATGTGTGTAACTGCATCGATAAAAGGACAACTGAATGGTAGGGACTCATGAATGGAGAAAGGAAGAGAGAATAAGAGTTTCCTATGGTTTTCCATCTCCCTTTCGTCACTGCATCTAAAAGGAGCTTTTACTTTCGCTTACAAGCCTTACGTCAAACGAGGGTTCTTTATTTCTACTCCCTGTGGATCAGCTATTCCATCTTTTCGACTTTGTTTCATAAAAGCTCTTTTAATTTACCCTAAAATGCCTGAGAAAATATTGCGAAGGAAGAAAAAGTTGATAATTTTATTATTAAATAAGGAAAAAGAAATGTTTAAGTTATCGTATTAATATATACTTCTAAAGTAATTTCATTTCTTCAAATTGGTAGCGATTTATTTTTTATGAGTTTAGAAATATTTCGTGGCACTCGTATTAGGCAGTTTTTTTTTAGGGTGAGCTTTAACAAGGGTTGAGCAACGTTGAGTCATAAATCTTGCAATCAGTCTATTATGGTCGGGGGAACGTAGACAAGCGAGACGCTGGGTAATCCCGTGAAAATTAGATCGGTTTGATGCGATAACACTCTTACGGAATAACTCGAAGAAGAAAGAGAGGCAGTAGACATTTTTTTTTATATAACAAATAAATTTATTTAGGAAAAAGAAATAGAAAAAAATGATAACATGCGATGCATATAAAAATAATAAAAAGTCAAGTTTAATTTAATATCCAATGACATATTCAAATGAACTTAATTACACGAAAATATTATTTATATTTGAAATTATTTGAATATTTATTTGAATTATTTGAAATATTAATATTATTTATATTTGAAAATATTTTTATATATTTTGCAAAAGAAATTTATTAACATAAATGGTTAATAATTTTATTTTTCGCGTTTGATTTTCGCGCAATTTGTTCGGCTAGTTCCGCTCAATTTCGGTGTGCATGCGCCTAGCTATTCAATTCAACGCGGCGAATGTTCGAATCCTCGCTTAGTTGTCCTCGCGACGCGCTTGGGAAAGGATTAATTTTGTTGTTTTTTTGAAGGAACAACCAAATAGAAAACATTTTGTATATTTACATTATTGTTTTTACTTGTATCCGCAGTAGAGTAACTGGTGAAGTAAAAAAAAAAAAAGATATATTTTTAAGCAAATGAAAAAAAACGTGCGCGACGTTTGAAAGAAGAAAAAGGGGTTAAGGATATTTTCGGAAAATTGTTTCCTCTGATTTTTTAATAAAAATGAAGTCGTGCTGCGAGGTAAGAAATGTTTTTTAAATTAACTGTGTTGATTTCTATTTTAAATAAAACGATTTACAAATTTTCTGTAATGTTTCATCTGATCGATTGATGAAAAGAATGCCATCGATGCATTTAAAATGTTAAATAACGTGTAAATAGTCGAAACAAGATTGGAATTTAAATCCGAGTGAAGAGAAAAAGAGACTCCTTTACTATTTTGTAATTACACGCATCGTTAAATGTCGAACAAAGAATGGGGAAGGGAATGAAGATCGTCTCTTTTAAAAAATGAAATAAAAAAGGACATAATTGTGCAGTCATCTATAATCCTTTGAAACGTCGTATTATCGAAATACCAAATTTAAACAGATACAAACAAATTCATAAAAATTACTAAAGACAATTTTTATTAAAGAAATTAATGACGATTATTTTTTTATATTTGAATTTGGAATACAAAGTTTTTTTATTTGCAATGATTTTAAATAAATAAAATGTGTCAATAAGTAGCTAATAATAATTATTCGTAATAAATGAATGAAAAGAAAAATTAAAAAAAACAAAGTATATAAAATATTCCTCGTTCTCTTTTTCTTGTCTTTTTGTGTGTGTGTGTGTGTGTATGTACGTTTCCTCCGATCGTCGTTCTCATATTCAACGCGTTGTTCGAGATCCTTTGGCGCGAGGGTAAGGAGAAATTATGCTGGCTCCGTGTTAAAGTTAAATGAAAAATGTTTAGCGTACTCTCGACGCGAGCTGAATAATCGATTGTTCCCTTCCTCCTCCTCTGTGTTCGTCTCGAGTCGCGGTTTCCTACGCAGCAGCAGCTATCCCTGAGCCTGGATTCTCACGTTTCGTATTAATATCTTATCGCGTGTCAGGAAACCAAGTGGCCGTCTAGGTTTCTATTTCTACACATATAACGTCGACTTCTCGTCTCATTTGAAATTCATCGTTTGGTTTAGCGAGCAGCGAAACGCAACCCTTTCCGATCTAATTTCATCCAACGCGTTAAATTGTTCAACCATTTCCGATCTTACTTTATCTTTTCATTAGATACTCAACGTGACTGTTTACTTTGTTTCTAAAAATGTCAAACTTCGACATTTTAACTTTATAATCGAATTCATGCAAAACATTTTCTAATTTCTTCTCAACAATCTGAAAATCTTAATAATATGAACATTTTCATTAGATAAATATATAACATGAAATGTTTGAAATAGGATGAGGCGTGGGATATATTCTTTTCAGTGGTGCCAATTGAATTTGAAAAATCGTGCACGGCAGATCATCAAAACTAGAGTCTAGCCACGTTTAATTAACACGAGCCATCAACCGCACGACAATCCGACGTTCGAAATTCTATCCCTTCTCCCTTCCCCGCAACTTCCATCACTTTCAGAACTGTAACATATGTACGTAAATACATAAATGAACAGTATATACCTATATGCACGTGTAGAATGTACAACGTTCAATGTTTCTCTGCATATTTTCTCGATAAGTCTAATTCGTTAATTATTTTCAAGAATAATCTGTTTTATTTTATTAAATAAATTAATAGTTACATTTTTAAAATAGTCTCGTAAATCGAAATAAAGTTAATCGATCGAAATGATACCGTAGGGTAATGATTTTTGCAAAAACAGTTTTCTTTGGTTGTTTCAACAAGTTTAACACCTATAATTCATAGTTTATTAAAGGACAGTAGAATTCCGTGTTGGGATGTATTTCGTGGGACATGTTAATTCCATTAAACGGACTATTGGGACGACAAAATCTCTGTTATCAGTAAAAACGAATATTCTTAACGAGCTTGACTTTTCGGTCTTTAGAAACGACGAAGCTTTGAGAATTTGGGACGCGAATCCTTTCATATTTTAACATCTTCGTTTATCCTAACTTGCGTACAAATACTTAATATCATTGTGTCAATAAATTTTATAACTTTTTAACATTATTTTAATTTATAAATTAATCTAATAATATTTTATTTATCTATAAACACACATATTTGATGAAACTGCAAATAATCGTACACAAAGATATGAAGAATAACTTAACTTAAACTTTAATTAAACTAAAATACATAGTTCGTACTTATTGGGGTTAAAATAAAACTTTTTTTTTTTACTAGGGGTTAAAGATTGGAATTTCATTTAACTATGAGAATCAGATAAATTTTGTTTCCTCTACGGTTCTGTAATTTACGAATTTTTTTTGTTACGGTAAATTCCTTAGTTTCTCGTGAAAATGATGATCAGAAAAAAACGAGGCAGGAAGGAAGGAAGGAAAGAAGGGAGAGTTGTTGAATCCTACTCGATTATCGCTATGGAAGAACACAAGTCTCCCTTATTTTCCTCGATTTCGAAGGATTTGCGTTACGCTCGTGTAACTTCGATTTTATTCCGTTCGTGCGTAACAACCCCGGAGGAAGTCGATGTCTACCGAATGGATAAAACGCACAAGGAATAGCAAAAAAGATAAAAAAAAAAAAATAGAATAAGATTTCGAGAGAAAAAAGAATGGGAGAAACGAAGTAGGAATTGCAGGAATGCCCTGTTGTTTTATTTCTTGATTATTGAAAATTGAATAATAAAATGAACCCTACAGTTTACACCAAAAAGATAACTCAAGTTGTAAATAAATTTCATTGATAATTTGATTACAATAACGTAAAAAACAGTAAGGAAAAAAAATATACAAATTTATGGAAAATTTTCAATTTAAACAGAAAGTCAGAGGGGGTGTGTTTTATTTCATACTCTGTAAAAAAAAAAATGAATATCTGGCTTTAATCTATCATTTACCGGATGTGTGTTCTCGTACCAAGAAGAAGAAAAATTCAAAACACAAAAAAAGGGAAACGAAATAAAAGGGGAAGACCCGAAGGTTTGTGGAGGAAAACCAGATCACCCATTCACCCTCGTAGACATTTTTTTCCACACACCATTGCGGTGGGATCGCGATA